GAATATATGAGAATGTATCTTCACACCATTTTATCAGAGTAAATTCCAGTTTTCATATTATTTGTGACACATATCAAGTGCAGGTAATTTCACCTGTACATGACTCGACGTACTGACTCCTCAAATCTAGAAATCTATCAGTCAGTCGCGAAATATTATATAACAATGATGTGATAAGATTGTCAGTTTAAAATCTACAGTTTAACACGGAAAGTGAATTCAATAATCTGGTGGTAGTTGTTTATATGTTTCAACAAATGTCACCTGTATTGATATCACAGTGTGAGAAAAAATGTGAAGTCAGACCAGGACCCAGGCTCGAAAGACTGTTCTTTGGCTCTACCAAAATATGTTAAGATTAAAAGAATCTAACATTGTTGGCCTGTATAGACCGGAATATCTACTGTTTATGGCTGTAACAAGGCTCTACGGAGTGTGTTTCGTATTAGCTTTAATTTATAGCTGTGTTCAACCTTTACTCATAGTCTAATTTCTAAATATTTGAAATGTATTAATGTTTATTAATAGTATTAAATTTCACGTGATTGACTAACCCCAACACACCCAGAATTTTATAATTATAACAATGATTCACTGTTGATAAATGTATGCTCCTCACTCACGGAAGCTTTTATTTTGTTAAGGGGTTATCTGGAATAAATCGTCAGTTCAGAGCTGACCTGTGACCATTCTCAACACACTATTAAACACCAAGTTTCTGGTAAACAGTTACCTGAGATCTAGATATTCCTGTCTAGGACAACAAGCAGTGTTTGATTCTTTTTCTTGCATTTTATATAATATTATTAATCTCGTTTCGAAAAAAATAATGTTGAAACCAAATATTTTCATTTAGCACTTTTTTTCTTTATAGTAGATCTAGCATATGAGTTTTGTATCGATTTATTCAGGGAATAGACATATACACATACAATTTTATCACAGATATCAACTTGCATATATATAAAAACACACACATAAATGCAACAAAAATAATTATAAGATTAATTAATGAGTATGTTCTATGTAACCCTAAGGATTGCCCATTAAGGTAAAAGCTTATTTCCAATGGGGTCCATTTTCTGTAAAATTATTACACTAACTTACATAATAATAAATGAGTTATAAAGAAGTTTACAACTGAATTCATTACGGTGGCGTAAAATGATGTAATTTTAACAACACAACTCATTTAGGAAAAATACATCCCATATGGGAATGACATATTGATTTTCTAGCACAGGTATAAACAGAAGATAACCCTGTCTGATATGCAAGAAAGTTTAGTCACTTGTATTTAACTACAGCAATATCATTTAATATTTTTGAATCTAAAACCAATGAATGCTGATATATTTGTGGGCATTTAAAATCTGCTTTTCTTGAGTCATATTGCAGAATAGAAAAGTTAAATCTAGTAACAATTATTTACATGCATGATCAGATCTATCATCATTCTTTGTTGCTCCCCAGTTAAATACATGACGACCTTGTCTCTTACATGATTTTTCCAGTAATCTACATAATATAATAATGTACCAGAGTGAATGAGGACTGACAGCTCTTGTTGCTTTTATTTTCAACACTAAAGAAAATGTACTTCACATGAATTTTTATTGTTTCAGATGTTAAGAAAATTTCCATGAATTGGTGAGAAAAAGAACCAGTGGGACATAATGGCGGCCAAAGTGGCACCAAAAACACTTCCTCCACTACAGAGAAGACCAAGCATAAAGTACGATGATCAGGCTATTGAAGTAGAGAATGTTGGTGGTACACCATTTGTAAGTGTGTGTTACCTGTATAAATTTGTTGTTGTTTTCATCTGGTAACTTACATAGTACATGTAGCTAGTGATTGAGTCAAAGTTTACAAAAGATACCTTGAATTTTTCTAAGGGTGAACTTATTGCATTATGATTAGTTTTGATTTTAAGCTTGACTATTCCAAGAATAGTTTGGGGACATCCAGAATTTAGACAATCCATTGTGCAACCTTACTCTTATAAATTGCTGAGTAGTGATTAATATAACAATTTATATTATAATTTTATAAAACTGCATGTTTGTAACATGACTTTTCACTGGATAATCATAAAGGTTTATATAGTTTTATATACACTGCTTCTGTCAATTATCAAGAAATGGAACTTTTTCTCTAAAAGAAGGTGCTTGCTTTAGGCCTATTATAAATTCCTAGCAGCTGGAGTTTTATTATATTTCCAAACAGCCATTTATATAGGGTAATATAATCTGTCAAAAATCTTTGGAACTAATTATATATTGAGATACAGATCTCATACAGCTGACAGGTACCATGTTAGTTTATATAGAACTACATTCTTAAGATAATGTGTTTGAACTGTCATTTATTTCTCAAATTTGTAAAATGTACAAAACACCATTTTTGGTCACCACCACATAGACAATATATTTTTGGAATACAATAGATGATGCTGGTTATCTTACAGATGTATTTGATCCTGGTCCAAATAACTTCTTCTGAAGTGGCGTGTTCATAGAATTGATCCAAAATATTTTTTAAGATAATTACTGCAGTTGTTGAATATGCGCGCTTTAGATTTTACTGTATCGTATTGCACCCCCACCACTGATGATATACTGTAACTTAAAACTTTGCATGTACTATATAAAATTATGTTACATTTTGTCACCTTAATGCAGTAATGGGTTAACTCGCATTGAATTTAAATGGGAGTTAACCCATTACTGTGCATGTCTTCTAATTCATAAAGGACTGTATGAGAATATTTAGGATGGAGCACATTGTTCTTTTTGTAGGTCTCATTTTAGTTGTAACAGCATATTAAATCAGTTCCTCGAAAACGGCTGTTTTTAGCTGCACATTTGACAAATTTTTATTGAAACAATGTAAGAATTTTGTTTTGTCAGTAGCATTGTTTTATTTATCTCATATTAAATGTGTTAAGTTTATACAAATTTATCATAATTTGATTGTGTTAATATCTATAAACTTATTGAAATACTCTTGAATCTGTTCCTGGAACCAACCAGTACTAAGAAATGAGTGTAAAAGTTTATGCTCAAGGAAACAATGGCTTGTCGACAATGAGGTTTGAACTTAAATCCAAGATTGAAAAAAAACAAAGTTGGTCATCCAACAGAATAGAACCTGAAAGTAAACCAGATTGGTTCCCTATTCAGATGAAATTTACATAAATATTTTGGTTTATTTGTGTAAAAAAGAATTGTTTTATTGGGAAAAAACATATGTATGGACACATATTGCTTCACCTCAAGTTTACAAGATCTTCTGACAAGATCAAATGAAAGGTAAGTTAATTTTCATTTTCTTTTTAAGAGGTTACTTCAACTAATAGGTTATGTGCATCTGCATATTTCATTAAGCTGTATTAATCAAGAGGTATGAAAATTCTAGCTTTACTGGTAGAGTAAGACTAGCTAGATGTATGTCTGTGCATTATTGTACTGGCACTTAAGCGAACCTGAGTAGAACCACATTAAGGCAATCTTTGTTTTAAAATCTATATATGATTTTCGTTGTATTCTAAGTCAGGTGTGTTCTAAAATTTTGAAGGTTTGTTAAATACTACATGTTGTCTGTATAAATACAAGTATTACAAATATTATTGCTTTTGTGCCAAGCAATTAAATTCAATTATTCAAGACTTCCATTAAGTTCCAAAATTTGGAAGTCAGAGACCTTTAAATGTTTGACTTTCTAAGTCACATTATATAGATCAAGAAGAAAAAGGGTTAAATTTTGGAAGTTACATACCAAAATAAGGAGTAAATTATTCCCAAACTTCCACTTATGGAAGCCCTGACTATTTTAATTATGTAATTTTGCTTCTTCGCTAATTATGTGGCAATTATATATACATAAAGTTTATGGAAACTTTTTTTTACAAATTTACTGTTTAGTCGATTTAGACCCATTTTCTTAAAGTACATGTATGCAAATTATAAAGAAGAGAACAAGTATCTCTTGTTAATTGTCAAGTGTCAGTATATATCAAGTGTCTTAGTGTATATTGTTACAAAAATCAGTAAAAACTAAATATTGCTAGATTTTGACATTTTCGAAGACGGAAAGCAACCAACATGCCATTTCAATGAAATCGCTGTCTTCTAGATTACAGGTACCATACTTATTTGACTTAAGAGATTTTTTTGTTTTGTTTTTTTTACAACAAATGAATGTGAATTTTTAATACAGTCTATGCATATCAGTAGTAAAGAAAGAGCAAAAATTAATTCAAATAAATTTTCAGATGTTGTATTAAGTTTAAGTCTACACAAGATTAAGTTTCAATCAAATTAAGTCAGATTTTAGTTATTTGACGGATACATATTACATGTACAATAATTACAATAATTATCTGTAATTTTGTGAAGTCATTTTTTCTGAACAATATATTAAGTAAATATACTAGTTATTTGGTGAGATGCAGAGTTCTTTCCCTTAAAATTTCTTTTGGATAAACTTGCAATTTTCATTTAAGTATTAATTCACTGACACATTAATTGATAATTTTTTAATCCATGTTCATTGTCTATTAATTAATTGGGTCAGTCAGTGCTGTATAAGGTACATTTCGTAAATATTTTTGTGCCCTTGACTTATAATGCCATTATTTGCTGCACTTATATTGGATAGCTTACAGGATGTAAATAAGTTAGTAAGTTACAGCGGATATGGTCGATTAAATTGTTTTAATTTTATTCTTTCATACTTCACTTAGATCTTATAGCCTTAAGCAATTTCCATTGTATACAACCTGTTGAGTGAAGTGTAAGATACTGTGTTTATTGTCTAATGCAGATACTATCTATTTGATGATGTGCATAAAACACACATACACAGACACACACTAGTCATGTGCTTAGTTTTATCTTGAGAAACATTTTCACTCTGGTAGTCTATGAAAAAGGAAAACAACATATTTATATACTTATTTGTGAGAAATTAATGTGTTTAGGATATTACTGAAGTCAACGCATTTCAGTTATGCATCCTTCACACACCATTGCCTGTTTAACACTATGTTTATTTGACACAGTCTGTAAACACAGTCACGTTTTGTTGGATATAGTTTGTTAAATTATCTTCTTATAGTGGATAGATTGTAAGTTGAATTATTATTATTTTATTATTTAGATGATTTTGCCATTATTATTCTGTTTCATTTTCTTGTATTTTTATTAGTATTTAGTTATAATTTAAAATCATAAATTTATAATGCTCCATTATTTTAGTCACAGTATTACCACTGTTTAATATTTGTGTGCATTTGTTACTTCTTGTTTTACTTAATTCTTTTCCTCATTTATTATTTAAGTTAACTGTGCTCAATTATCTACTGCTTAAACATTTAAAATGTTTCTAGGAAGAAATATACTTGTCTATGAATTAGTAGGAAGTTTTAAGAATTAATTTTATAGTGACCTTATTGTTAAAATAACATAGTTATGTCAACTCAATCATTTATCTGCACATTCACACAATTATCAAATGAGGCAACTCAGTTATTCACCAGTATGTTCTCACAATTGTGTTCAAGTAAGGCAACCCAGTCATTTGCCAATACATGTATTTTCACACAATTATGTTCATGTGAGGCAACTCGGTCATTTGCAAGTATGTTCACAAAATTATGTTCATGTTAGGCAAGTCAGTCATTCACAAGTATGTTCACAAGGTTATGTTCACGTGAGGCAACTCAATCATTCACCAGTATGTTCACACAATTATAATACAAGGAAGGCAACCCAGTCATTCAAAAGTATTTGTTACACAGTTATGTTCTAGTGAGGCTACCCAATCATTCACCAGTATGTTCACATGGTTATGTTAAAGTGTGGCAACTCGATCATTTGCCAGTACGTTCACACATTTTTGTTCAAGTGAGGCAACTGAATCATTCACCAGTACAGTACAGGTTCAAACAATTAATTACAAGGGAAGCAACCAAATCATTAACCAGTACATTCACACAATTATGCTAAAGTGAGGCAACCCAATTATTCACCAGCATGTTCACACAGTTATGTTCAAGTGAGGCAACTCAATCATTTGCCAGTATGTTCACACAATTATGCTCAAGTGAAGCAACTCGATCATTCATCAGTTTGTTCACACAATTATATAACAAGGGAGACAACTCAATCTTTCACCAGTAAGTCCACACAGTTATGTTCAAGTGAGGCAACTCAATCATTTGCCAGTATGTTCACACAGCTATTTTCAAGTGAGTCAACTCAATCATTCACTTGTATGTCCACACATTTATAATACAAGGGAGGCAACTCAATCATTCACCAGTATGTCCTCACAATTATAATACAAGGGAGGCAACTTAATCATTCACCAGTATGTTCACACAGTTATGTTCAAGTGAGGCAACTCAATCATTTGCCAGTATGCTCACACAATTATAATACAAGGGAGGCAACTCAATTATTCACCAGGATGCTCATGAGTTATGTTCATGTGAGACAACTCAATCATTTACCAGTATGTTCACACAATTATAATACAAGGGAGGAAACTCAATTACTCACACAGTTATGTTCATGTGAGACAACTCAATCATTTACCAGTGTGTTCACACAATTGTAATACAAGGGAGGCAACTCAATCATTTGCCAGTATGTTCACATAGTTATGTTCAAGTGAGGCAACTCAATCATTCACTTGTAAGCTTAGGTACAAACAAGGTGTCATCTTATAAAAAAATCAGATTTTTTCCTGTATTTTTTTTTAATTTATTTATTTTGAATTTTATTTTATATTGTCCAATTCAAAGCTAAGTATACATGTTTATGTGCCAAAACTTAATTTTTGGATTTTTTGTTTTATTTCAAAAATCTTGAAAAAGGTGATCCCTGGGAAGCATTAATTAAAACAAAAATTACATAAAAATTGCAGGTTTTTGTTTGAGTCAATTACATTTATGTTTTCAATCAGAATGTCTCAACAGGTGACATATTGTTTCCGAAATTGCCCTGGGCTAATTACCTTTACAGCAGACAAAGAGGTGTAAAATATTTGATATATTAACAACAGCTGTAATCTTAATTCTTTTTAATAACATAGACAATTGTCATGGTGATTGGAAACTATTTAAGTTATTTCACAGGTATTTCAGACTTGAGCCAAAATATTTAAATCAGCCTCTTCAGAAATAATGTCTAATTATTGGTCAACTAAATTTTAACCAATCAACAGTGAGAGAACCCCTAAAAGATCCTTTTTCCGGCTGGCAGTTTTAATAATGATTCTGTCTCGAGTAAAGAAATATGTGTATAATTAAATAAATGCTAGAAACTTGGATTAAACTTATATAATTATATATTTATATATAGATATTTTTCATTGTCATAGATACTGCGCTAAGAAATCACAGCAGGGAAAAAGCAACTCAATTCTCAGCTAGGTTGCATTTGTTGTAAAAACCCATGTAACATGAGCATTGTACTATTAAGAAAACATTATCATGTACAGATGAGATTATACCATTGGCACAAATCGGGCTACACCATCATTTACAGGTCAGATTACACCATCATGTACAAGTGAAAGTGATGATAAATGAATTTGAAGACTAGCTTCTAGCTATTCTTCTTCCTTTTAATAATGTGTAATGTATCAGTTACATAAGTGGAGATATAGTGTCATGTATAAACAGTGTGATTTAAGCATGTGTGTTTTGGGCTTCCCATATCAGTATCACTAAGACATGTGAAATGTTATATAGTAATGTATTGTTTTTTCTTGTTTTTTTTACAGGGAATAAGAAATACAGCAAATTTTATAATATTCCTGAAAAGAAGAAGATGGCTAGTAAATGATTGAAGTCAGTGTCTTGAAACTAAGATTAGAATATATTTTAAGCAATCCAATTTCAACACATTGTATGAACTAAACTGTGTTGTTGCGCTATAAAACCAAACAAACAAAAAGGCAACACATGGTATCAGAGAAGCATTAAGTTGTGTTAGCTGACAGTGTAGCAGCAATAGCAATGTCTTCAGAAAATGATGAAGTGATTCAGGATAGTGTAGATGTTGGCAACAAAATGAATAAGATGGACAGACAGTCTGAACAAACAGTAGGCACCAGCAATGATGCTGGTGGACGGAGGCATTTTGTGGAAGATGTAACTTCTGATACCTCACCTCTCCTAGGAGCCAGTATTGATAGCGAAGAAAGTTGGATAAAGCTCGATAGTGATCTTAAAAGAGAGCGTGAAGACGCCACTGAGCAAGTAGACATAGAAGTTGAAGACATAAGCCTAAATAACATTCATATGAATACATTCCCTGGTTTGGAACAAAGCTTGGAAGACCAAATTATAGATCAGTCTAACAATAACGTTGAAGATATAAGTAACAGTAAATCATTTTATAATGAAAAGTCAGATAGACCTCACACATACAGAATGGATAGCAATCAGAATCATGCTAGAAGTAATGTTGAAGATTCAAAATTAATTGAAAAGACATCTGCTGTGGTAGAAGAAAAAAAATATGACATTGAAATTACAAATATCGAACCATCTCTGATAAGTGAATGTGACTCGGATGTGAAAGAAGAAGAGGTTTTAAAAGTTGATGCTTTAGATGGAGAAGAAATTGTTTGCATGTCCAGAAGGGAGCGTGTTTCCATAGGTGATTATCATTATATCCGAATGAATGCATTTCCTCTTACCAAACATGATGCAGTATCTTCATTAGATTCTGTAAGTAGTGACGAAGTAGATGGGGAAGTGTTTGAAGATACCACAAAGGAGAATTGTTCTGCTCTTGGTGAACCGAATAGTGTTGAAAAACAGGAAAAGTATAAAAGAGACAAAAAGAGAGCTGTCCGGTTTCTTGCTTCTTACTGGAGCAGGGATTCGTTAGAAGCAGTTGATATGATTGATGCTGACTTTAATGGGAATAATGAAGATGATGAAGTTGACATGGATATCGTACCGAAAGTAAACATAAGAACGGATAGGAGTCAGTCAGTCGTGAAAAAACATGCTTCCGTTCTAGGTGAACTTAAATCTCAAGTGAAGGCAGTGAAACAAGAACAATTACAGAAAGAAAAGGATGCAAGGAGACGGTTTGGCAATGTTTTAAAAGAATTAAAAGCATACAGCCTGGTTAGTGTTTATTGTAATGATTTTTTTTCAACATAGGGGTCAACTGGTTAAGCAGGTCATTTCAGGAAGTGAAAATTCTGTCATAATTCTTATGAAAGGGGAGCAAATACAAGCTATTTTTTATCTATAATTAACATCCTTGTCAGAAGAAATAAAGTAATAAAAACTTTAATGAAAAAGAATACGGCATCAATGTAGACCACAACGATATTCGAAATTCGGGTTTTAGTATTGCCTATAAAGCTAAGGGACAAGCTGTTAAACTGAGCCTGCAATTTAAGGAAAATAATATCACAATGCACATGCTTTTTAGCTCGACTATTCGAAGAATATGAGAGCTATTGTAGTCGCCCCGGCGTCGGCGTCAGCGTCCGCGTCTGCGTCTGCGTTGGTTAAAGTTTTTTGTTAAGTCAAATATCTCAATTATTACTTGAGATATCCAATTGAAACTTACAATACTTATTTATAGTAACAAGGTACATCAGATTGACAAGTTGGATAACTCTGCCTACAATATTGAGAGAATTATGCCCCTTTTTTACTTAGAACTTTTGGTTAAAGTTTTTTGTAAAGTCAAATATCTCAATTATTGCTTGAGATATTCAATTGAAACTTACAATACTTATTTATAGTAACAAGGTACATCAGATTGACAAGTTGGATAACTATGCCTACAATATTGACAGAATTATGCCCCTTTGGAACTTAGAAATTTTGGTTAAAGTTTTTTTGTAAAGTCAAATATCTCAATTATTGCTTGAGATATTCAATTGAAATTTAAAATACTTTAAATACTGCAATATTTGCAGAATTATTTGCCCCTTTGAAACTTAGAAATTTTGGTTAAAGGTCTTCAAAGATATTTACTTGAAACTTTACACATGCACTTAGGGTCATAATTGGAGGGTCGTACTATCAAGCACTTAGAATAGTCGAGCGTGCTGTCCTACCGACAGCTCTTGTTATATAAAGTTATTAAATACAATATTAATTTTGTTTACTTGATTTTTACGAATCAAAATAAAACTAATTAACACAACATGACATTAACTGCTTACAACAACAGCTCCTTCCATAGGCCAAAATAAAAAGCATTCCATAAGAGACGATGCCGCTCATCAGCGTCACCAAAAAGCCCCCAAAAAATTTTAATGTAAAAACCTGACAGAACATTCTTCCAGTATGATTTTTATACTTTTTTGTTGGAAAATTTTGCAAAAAGCACTTTGGAAGATTGGAATGGGACAGAAAGTAGCCTAAAAAGCACTGTTTTGTTGTGAATAAATTTTCATTCTTATAATCTACACTATTTTGGCTTGATGATACCCAATGTTTAGATAGGTTTATATTTTTAAAATGCAGGAAAACTAACATGATATCTAATCTAATAATAAATAGCTTGGTGTGAAAGGGTTGTAACTCCTTCTTTTTTTAATATGAGTAAGAGTTACAACCCTTTGGTACCAAGCCCTAGCTATGTAATGTAATATTGTATTGTTGCTATCATTATGGCATGGCCATTGTTCTATTGGTAAGTATGTTCAGAGAATTAACTGATTAAACAATATTTCATTTTTTTGTTATTGAATATAATACAACGCCACTGAATTAACAATGTTTAAAATTAGGCGTTTAATCAAATAAGTTTCAGTTTCAGAGTATGTTTAGAATAGTTTGAATAGACAGTTGAAAAAATAGAACACATGATAATAAATTATTGTACTATAAGTGGATAAATGGACATTGACAGTGAGTCCTGGTTCAGGCATTGTGTTCGAAAGAAATTTTACTAAAATACTTTTAAAATTTTGAGGAAATATGGGTCAAAGGGTCAAGCATAATAAAAATAGACATTTCTTTTTAAAAAAAAATGAAATTCATATTCAGTGCAAAAATAGTTTTGTACTGTTACAGTGTAATATTATGGTTAGATTTACATTTTGAATGCTAACGGAAAAAAGAAAACCCTAAGCCATTACCATTTTGCCAGCCAAGACATGTTAATGTTGTTTTTACTGAGGGGAAGATGCCGACCATTGGTGTCTATTTGCTAGTAAAAAAAAACTTTGTTAGTATCAAAAGTACTTTGATACTGAAATGTCTTTTCCAAATTCACAGCATCAAAATTCCATGTAACAAATTCAGTGTTGTCCAATATTTAACTTTACCCTCCTTAAACCAAAAATGATTACCAATAGCCACCTGGTGAGAATAGAGCCTGGCCAGCCTACCAGGCTATATACTGTTGGCTAACTTTAAATTTTCATCTTGATATCCCCAAATTTGATAATGGACAGTTCCAAAATTAGAAGCTGGACTGGTCCTTCAAACAAATATAGCAGGTTAAAGTGAGATATCACTTGTTAAAACAATCAAATAAAATAATGACATGGCGGAGTGCTTAACACGTCACACTTGTAATCTAAGGATTGATGACTGCGTCGGTTCAAATTCTGTCTAGGGCAAGCTGTCGTTTCCTTGAGCAAGAAAGTTAACATTCCTTGCTTTGAGTACTGGTTGGTCCCTGGGGAACAGATTCTACAGTGTTTCATTAAGCTAATAGCTTCCAACACAATCTAGCGAAAATAAATTTGTATAAACTAAATTAACCAGTCTAATTATTACATTATTAAGTCAGAAGCAGTCATTGTTGACATTGAACTTTATTATTTCCAGGAATTGGATGAGGAGACAAAATGGATACGTGGTCACATAAAACGCCGGGAATGTTCAAGTTTTATACCACCTGCCAACACTCCAGAAGAAGAGTGAGTGATTTTGAATATATAATGTTCTTTTTAATAATTTAAAAATAAAACTTCCATAATAATTAAATTCTATAATTATACCACCTGCCAACACTCTTGAAGATAAATGAGTAACTTAAAATTGGTGTTGTTCTTTGACATAATTTTAGAGGACTTACATTTTGATAGTACATACTTGTTGTACAGAGATAAGCAAAACATTCTTGAAAGTGTGAACTGTGACTTTTCAGCTGCTGAGTGACTTTTAACCCTTAAATGGTGAACACTCCAGGACAGACTTTAAAACCTGAAATTGTAAATTCTCCAGAATTTAAATTGTGAATTCTTCAGGACTGTCATTAAACCCTGAAACTGTGAACTCTCCTTGACTGACTTTGTGAATTCAAGGACTGACCTTAAACCCTTAAATAATGAATTCTCCATGACTGACCTAATAAATAAAGCCTAAAATTGTGAGCTCTCTACAGCACTTTTCAGAAGTGAACTAAACCCTGAAAGGACAAACACTCTACCCTTTAATGGTGAACACTCTTCAGGTGTTACTTTAAACCCTGAAACTCTTCAGGTGGTGATTTACCCAAAATTTGTTAACATTACAATAGTGACTTCATTCCCCTAAAATGGTGAACATTCCTCAAGTGTGACAAAAATTACCCTTAATTTGTGAACATTACAATATGAACTTTAAACCTTATAATGGTGACCACACTTCTGGTGTGACAAAAATTACCCTTAATTTGTGAACATTACAAAAGAATTCTAAACCTTAAAATGGCGAACATTCTTTTGGTGTGACAAAATTTACCCTGAAATGGTGAATGCTCTGTAAAAGTGACTTCAGACCCAACAAGTCAAGATGAGACGGTGAAGAATTTCAAGTGGTATAAAATTTTGACATAGATTAAAAAATGAAAAGCTTGATCAATCTATTATTTTTTTCTACAGAAGGAGAAAAGTTAATTGCCAGTGTGGATATGCCTACAACAAACATATTCCAAATGCAGACAAAAAGCACCTGGAAGATGAAAAGTGGGCATACAAGAAACATTCCATCCAGAAAACAACAAATGCGTTTGGAGACATAGAATTTGTGGGCTATGGTGGAAATGTGGGAAAGGTAAAAACTTTCATAATGCTGCTTTAATGTTATGGTGGAAATTGTGCGAAATGTATATAATATCATTATTCTGCTTTTATGTTATGGTGGAAATTGTATGAATGGTAAAAATATCACAATTCCACTTGTATGCTATGGTGGTAATGTGGGAAAGTAACCAACCGGTACTGAGCATTGAGTGTTAACTCTCTTACTTAATGAAACAATGGCAAAAATGGTTTGGACCAAAGTGGCAAGAAATCTTTAGTCCAAATTGTTAACCACTCTCAGGCAGGACTCATATTTTGAAAATCCTAGCGAGAACCCTGTGTTTGTTTTTCTTACAGTATATACGGGTAGACGTAGACACAAAGATGTCGGACATGTTAGACCTGATGATGCAGGTATGGGGACTGGACAAGCCAAATCTTCTCATCTCAGTGACTGGTGGTGCCAAAAACTTTCAAATGAACAAACGACTCAAGGAGACATTCAGACGAGGTCTGATGAAGACTGCTTTAACAACAGGTAAAGTTTGATCAATCTATTCTCACCATACAATCTCTCTCATTGGCAAATAAATGTTTGATGCTTTTAGTTATAGGAAAACCTTAACAAATTTGCAATACTTTTTTGCATAAGAGTTTTCTTTAGTTCTGTCTTTAAAGATATGTACTAAAGATATGACAAGTTGTTTAGTTGTATGTACAGGATTTTTCCTCTGCAATGATAAAAAGCCAGCCATGTTTGACATTGAGAATTTAAGGACATTTTCAAGTTTAAGTTATTGTAGATTTATGTAAGTTTGAATCGTTTAATACAGAATTTGAAAATTCAAACATATATAGATACATTCTGTAGCAACAGAATTTGTAACAACTATGTTCAAAATATTACATATAGAAAGCGGCTAAGATGGCTTAATTAATTGAATGCATAAATCCTTGGGATGCTATACCCAAAACTGCTAAGCCTTTAAGACCAGTATAGAGCCAGGCCAGCCTGAAAATCTGTACATTGAAACCATTCTCAATACTTTTGCAAAGTTTTGTTATTGATTTTGTTTCTCTATTAAAAATATGATTGGACTGTTCCAAATTTTAAACAAGGTAAAGCCAATTAAGCAAGGTATACCAATTAAATATACCGCTGAGATATTACCCAAACATGTGTTAAAATCTGCGTAAAAACCAGAAAAACAAACAAAAATCAAGCAGGTTAAGTGTTAATGAAAGAGAGAAAGTAAAGTTGATTTTTTTTACAGGAGCTTGGATTGTGACAGGAGGGACTCATGCTGGTGTGATGAAACACGTAGGCGAAGCTGTTAAAGATTTTGGTGTAGCATCAACATCAAAGAACCCTGTTATCTCAATTGGTATAGCACCATGGGGGTGTATACAAAACAAAGAAGTTCTCATTGATGATCAGGTCGATACTATTCCATTTTGTAAAATTCTCATTTCAAAAAATTATTACTTAACATATAGAGGATATTCATGTTTTTTTTTTCTATAATACAGGAATTATTTTCTTAGAGTGGTATGGCAATAAATATTTTATGAGTGGCAATAGCAAGACACCAGTGAAAATACAGAAAATATGTTTCACTGCAGTGATAAGTAAATTTTTAATGTGAAATATGGAAATTGAAAATATGCATTTTATTTCATCAATATTTCTCATAATTTCATTTATAAGTACTAGTATATAATAATTATTTTTCCTTATTTTCCCTAAGTCTTGCCTTTCAAATAGGTAACTTCAAACTTGATTTGCAAAATAAGCAAGATTCAGAATAGATGTATTGTTTATATGCTAATTGAGTGTATTAGAGTTGTAATGAGGAATGTGTATGAAATCATACAAAGAAATAGTTTATCAGGGAACAAAACAAAGATGTTACTAAGGGATTAGACTTCTCCATCTAAATTACAAAAATAAATTTGGATCTCAAACTTTTTCATAGCTGCTATTACAAAAATTTAACCACCAAATTATTGAGTGCAAAGTCTTTTACAGCATCACATTAAATCGTTGTCTTGCTATTCCTAAATTTGTTATTCCATTATGAGTTCTATTTTTTTTACTAAAAAAGTATTTTTATACTGAAAAAGCTATTCTTATTCAAGAGACTAGTCAGACTTAAGATTTATATCAAAATATAAGATGTATGTTTGTTTTTACAGTGTACAGGATTGTGGCCAGCTAACTACAGAATTGAGAAGGAACAGAAACCTAAGGAGAGTTTTCTTGACCCAAATCATACACATTTTATCCTTGTGGATAATGCTACAGAACACAAGTTCGCAGTGGAGATTCCGTTCAGAGCAAGACTAGAAAATAAAATAGCCAAAATAAGAACAGACACAGGAGACAGTATGTAGATAATTATATCAGACGATTATTTGCTTAATCGAAGAATAGGGAGAGCTATTGTACTCACCCAGTTGTCGGGGTCCACCTTTGTTAAGTTTATGCATGCAAGTTGGTATCTCTAAAACTACTGAAGAGAATAGGTTGAAACTTCACACACTTATTTGAGAACATAAAAGTAGGGCACTGTCAAAGGCTCTTAACTCTTACATTGATTTTTACTGAATTAAAACCCTTTTTGTACATGGAAAATTCTTTTACTTTCATGCACTGTGAATAGTCAAGCACACAGTCCTTCCTACAGCTGTTGTTCAAACATAATGGGAATAGCCAATGGTTTGTTCAGCTAGGAAGGAAAATTATGGAAAAAACTTGCCTGCAGAGTTTTTTATGTGATCAGAAGTGCCACCTGTAATCAAACCTTATTAATTAATGCACTTCTAATTTTAGTGAATGTCAAGCGTTATTTGATTTGCTATACATGTGTAATGATTGCCACTGTAGTTGAATAATTAACAAAAACTTAAGTATAAATGTTATTGCAATTATGTTACTTAGTTATATACTTTATGTAAAAGTTTTGTATACTTTCTAAACAGATGCAGTATCAGTGCCTATAGTGTTGTTAGTGTTGGAGGGCGGACCAGGTACGTTGGAGACGGTACATCAAGCTATACAAAACAATACACCATCTGTGATAGTAAAGGGGTCGGGTAGAGCTGCTGATATTCTAGCATACGCTTATCAGAACTCAAAGGAAGAAGAAATAGAAGCAACAGACCAGGAAGGAAAGAAACAGAAAAAGTATGTTGTTTGCAGAGTGTATAGTTTAAACATATTTATTTTAGCTCGATTGCGGAAGAAGTTCTTGTAACTTATCTTTAGTGTCATAACTATATGTCATTTACCAAGGCCCATGACTTTAGCATGACTTTTTGTCTTGATAACTTTTAATGTAACTTACAGGTTATATTTTTATGCCACCGCAGCATCTGCGATGCGGTGGCATATAGCGATTCACCTGTGTGTGTGTTTGTTCGTTTGTTTGTGTGTGTGTTATATAGATTATATAGTGAACTTAAAAAATCTTCTTGTGAAAAACCACTAGTCCAATTTCAACCAAACTTGGCAGGATTGATCCTTGGGTGAAGGGCTTCCAAAGTTGTTCAAAGAATTTCAGTCCATGCAGAAATCTGGTTGCCATGGCAACCAAAAGAAATTATTAGAATAAATTTAAAAAATCTTCTTGTAAAGACCAAAAAGGCCTAGAGCTTAGATATTTTGCATAATGCATTGTCTGGTAGACCTCTACCAAGATTGTTCAAATTATAGCCCTGGGGTCAAAATCGGCCCCGCCCCGGGGTCATTGATTTTCACAATATGTACATATAGTAAAATAGATAAATACAGAATCCCTAAAGAAAGCCCAACACGGCAAAATTGAAAATGTTGCAGGCTCTGTTTGATTGAGCCTGTTCACGGACGGTACTGGAAAGTGCAAGTTACCGTCCACGCCCCCTAGCACCGGCTTAAGCAGAATTCAACATTTAAACATGAAATAGTAAAATTTTGAATTTAGAAACATCCGCAGATGTGTTCATACGGCGGTTATCATGGAACCTTCAATGTGACACTTCTGTGCCATTCCATGAAAAGCGGCGTATGGTCCCCAAGTAATAAAAAGCGTGTGCCCTAAACGAGAAAACAATGGGTGGAACTAAATAAAATGGAATTTTGAAAGGGGATCCGAGGTTATGAAGCCTGCGTATCACAGATAAGACGTCAAAAGACAAATTTAAAAAGCAGGCAACATATCCTGAGGGTGATTCAACATTATTCAAGTAGGAATATTGGAACCACCCAACTAGAAAATGCCGAAAAGTTGAAACTAAAAATACCACAAGCACAACAATAATGTCGTGCTGAACGATCTTCAAGGATCGAAAATATAACATCATTGATTAAATGTACGGGGAGACATTTTACAGCCGCCACACGGCACAAATAACACGTAACATATAGTAAAAACTTAAAATACCTTCTTGTAAAGACCCAAAAGGCCTAGAGCTTAGATATTTTGCATAAGGCATTGTCTGGTAGACCTCTTCCCAGATTGTTCAAATTATAGCCCTGGGTGCAAAATCGGGATGCCCCGGGGGTCATTGGTTTTCCTTATATGTATATAGTAAAAACTTATAGTAAAAACTTTAAAAAAAATTCTTTTAGCAATTGACAAATGCTAGAAGTTAGATATTTTGCATGAAACATTGTGTAGTAAACCTCTAGCAAGATTGTTCAAATTATAGCCCTGGGGTCAAAATTGCCCCCGCCCTGGGGGTCATTGGTTTTCAATATATACATATAGTAATAAATCTTATTGTCTGAAGATACAAGGCTTAGAGCTTTAATATTTGTTAAATCATATCATCTAAAAGTACTCTATCAAAGTTGTTCAAATTTTGCCTCTAGTGTCAAAATTAGCCCCGCCCCCGGGGGCCATAGGTTTTCCTTATATGTATATTGTAAAAACTTAAAAATCATCTTCTCTAAATTTACAAAGGCTAGAGTTAAGATATTTTGCATGAAACATTGTGAAGTGAACCTCTAGCAAGATTGTTCAAATTATAGCCCTGGGGTCAAAATTGCCCCCGCCATGGGGGTCATTGATTTTCATTATGTACATATAGTGAAAAAATAAAAAATATTTTTGTCTGAAAGTACAAGGCATAGAGCTTTGATGTTTGATATATAATATCATTTATAGGTCCTCTACCAAAGGTAGTGTCAAAATTGGCCCTGCCCGGGGGCAGTGATTCTCATTATGTACACATAGTAAAAACAGAAAATAAAACAAATGTTTTCTGAATGGGAGAAAGCTATAGCTTAGATATTTGACTTGAAATGTTGTTTGGTGGACCTGAATCAAGATTGTTTTGAATTAAACCCTTGGGTAAAAATTATGCTTTGCCCAAGGGAACAGTGACCCACTTTCTTGTCCTTTGATGTACAGCAATGACATTTTGACCATGTGCACAGTTTTAGTTGTGAAATTGAACTTTGATATCAGGTGACCTAGATTTTGATGATGTGACCTACTTTCTTGTTCTTTGATGTACAGCTATGAAATTTGAACCAAGCGGTGGCATAGCATTTTTCTCAAATGCAATCTTGTTTGTAACTTCCAATACATGTATATAAATGTATAATATTGCTAGATTAGGGAAAGAAAAAAAATCTACAGTGGTTTGGCAGGGATATAAATATTATAATTTTTCAACTGTTTCAAACATGGTTAAATTTCATAATTGTGTAGATTATAATTATTCACTAACAAATAACATAAAAGATTACCTAAAAATTATATATCAGCAATTTAGTTTATATGAATTTATTTATTCGATTGTGTTGAAAGCTCTAAGCTTATTGAAACACTCTCGAACCTCTTCCTTGAACCAACCAGTACTGAGCAATAAATGTAAAGTTTTCTTGCTCAAGGAAACAACGGCCTGCCATTTATGGTCTGATTGGATTTTTCTTATTTTCGTCTTGATATATTTGTTATTTTCAGAGCACGGAGATTCATGGATGATTCCCTGCTAGTAGAAGTGAAAGAGATGGTGGAAAAAGAGTTTAAGAACGATGTAGATACACATGTTGGTCGTATAAAAGACTGTCTAGAAAAATGTGACCTCATGTCAGTGTTTGAGCTAGATAATAAGTCAGGTGTTAAAGAGATTGATGTTGCTATGTTACAGGCATTATTGAAAGGTAAACATGATCTTATATTTAGTAATAAAGTTCAAGGCATTCTGTACAAGAAAAATGGAATAAGCCGTACAATGCTTTTGGAATTGGAAAATCGTGCTTATGTACCTGCATGTCAATGAAAGTAGTTTAGCAACAGAAAAAAATTTATTCCTAGGATAGGCATCTGCAAAATGAATAGAATTATTCCTCTTTTAGTCATAGGAAGGGAGTTTCAAGAACTTTTTCCATGTTTTTTTTTAAAAAAGGAAGTTTTTTTTGTGCATATATGGAAGTGCACAATTAGTTGACTATGAATATTATTCAAATAATATCTGATTCATGTAGAGACAAAGCAAGTCTTTAAGTGCTTAAAACAACATACACTTTCCTCTAAATTTTGAATACATGTGTGCCTTAGCTTAATAGATTGACGGTTCAATTTCAATCTTTATTTTATAGCCAATAAGAATCAGGTATTTGACCAGCTACGTCTTGCCCTAGCCTGGAACAGAATTGATGTTGCAAAAAGTGATATCTTCACTGATGATAAAAGATGGCCGGTAAGTAGAATTTTTAACACATTGACTGTATTAAAACAACTTTATATAAATCATTAAATAGAAACATGGCCTAGCCATGCAATAATCTTCGATTTGAACTTCTAGCTTTGTGAGTTTATCTTTTTTTAAGAAAAACAAACCAAAGATTGTCCTAAAAATTACTCTAAGTTAGTTTACAAGGATGATGGTTCTACACATGCGGGTTATTGTGCCTAAAGCAATGTGTGAAGGAGCTGCAATAAGAAAAATTACCTGTACATACAGAGCAACTGATAACTTTCTTAGCACATTTATTAGCAACACTGTAAATATCTATTACAGACTGGAAGTTTGGACGATGTTATGTTCTCTGCTATACAACTGAACAGGGTAGATTTTATTGAACTGTTTCTGGACCATGGAGTTTCTCTCAGGGAATTTCTTACAAAGAAAAGACTTCTATTGTTATATAATAAGGTAAGTTGACCACTCAACTATATCAGAATGAATTTCAATTTTTCACTTTAAAGGCCCAGTATGCCGCAGAATGCTTTAGTTTTAATATCTCAAAGGCTTTTAATTTTAAATGTAATTTTACAGTTTCCAAAATGATACACTTGGCCAATTACCTGTACCATTTTTTGTTTGTTTTTTTTCGCAATTAGTACAGTTATAGTGATTTAGTATTTTGGAATATATTACTTTGTTTACATTTTGCTACTTTTTTGACAAATAATTTTACATTTAGTTTAAACAATATTTTATTTATAATCCACACATTTACATAATAAAGTAAATAAAATAAAATTTACAGATTGTAAGATTGTTGACTTGAAATCATGTACATCATACCATTATAAGTTCAAATCTTACCAGAGAGTAAGAATATGTCCATGTTAAATAAGCTACATAGCTAAATGTATCATAATAAAGGTTGATGGTTCTTCTCTGTGCTAGCCTGTATTTGAAATGGTGTCCAGGAATGCCTAGATCTTCCACCATCATTAAAGCTTTTAATTGTTGTTTTCGGAGGTTTATTCCAGTGTTTTTGTGACTTTAAATTCAACAAAATAAAGGTAAAATTCATGTTATTGCATGTTATTTGACCTGTCTGGATACAATTATTTCTTAATGTCTTTTCCAGCTATATTTTATCATGTTTAAACATTAACATGTATTTAAAAAAAAACACCATATATTCTGTTTAAATTATAGATATCTTCAAATTGTTTACTGAGGACTTTGCTGGACAGAGTCAAACACAAGGAGGACAGTGTAAGTTACTAGAATTTAGATTTTTACTCTTTCTTTTAACCCTATTTGCTAAAATAAGATTTATACATGTATGGTCCACTAGCATAGATTAACCTTTACCAGTCTTCCAATCTGAACAAAACCATTCATTATTTTTATGGGATAATTAATGTATTGACTGATATGCAAACAGTGCAGACCATGATCAGACCACACAGATGTGCCAGCTAATCAAAGTCTGCACTGGTTGCATGTATATAATCAATTGCTGCCAGCAAGCTAAAGATTAATTGCCAGCCCTTCCATCTTTTGAAGTATGACCTTACTCTCAACACTAGGCTGCTATGTTTTGACCCCTTAACTTGCTGATTTTTTTAAATGGACTTTTCCACCTTCCATTTTTGGAACTGTTCATTACAACTTTAGGATATCAATTTGGTCAGTCTGCAGTATAGAGCCCGATCAGACTACACAGATGTCTGCACATATTTTTTGACTGAAAGGATAAGGAAGTTGTTAAATTTGAAGGAAAAATGGATTTAGTTATTGAGTCTGAAAGAAATTGGGCACCAACACAAAAACACCTGTCAGAAAATTTTAAAACAAGATGCTCTTCAGTTTTAAGAACCAGTCCAAATGAGACTAGATGTCTGAATATGCAAGTTATACTGTGAAGAGTTTTCAATAAAACTTAAACATAAAGCAGCGGACAATATTTTTAATTTTAGCAGACGGCAATTGTCCCAGCATGCAACAGGTTAACATAGAATAAAATGTCTTGATTTTCTTTTTTTTCAGCATCGGAAGAATTTCTCGCTACTAGATGTAGGTATTCTGATTCAAAGTTTGATGGGTGATTCATTCCGTCCTATATACACAACTAAACCAGAATATGCCTATCTAGATGTTGACCTGTTACTTGATGGTTTAACAACAAAGAAAGCTAAAGAAGGAGGGATATCTGCATTCAAAGCAATGACGGAACTTGCAATGAACCCTGCAAGTAACCAAGACGATGGTATCTATACATACCTTTATTACATTCCTTTATTATTTCAAAAACAGAAATTTTAATCTTTTATTGAGAATGTTTGCTTGTACAAACTCTGAGTAAAACTTTGATTGAAAGTGACATTATGAAAATTTTTCACTGATCATTGTCTTGTTGTCTTAAAAGAAAAAGCTATTTTGAAAAAAAATCATTTTGGTAGCCAAGTGCTTATTTCTCTTCAGCAAATACTTGCCTGTTATTGTAAAGTCATGCTTATTTTACATGATTCAAATTGTCTCAATCTGAAAGGGTTATGATATTTGAATAATTCTATTAAAATAGTTGATGGTAGAGCAAATCAGAAACATCAGTCAAATTCTGACTTTGAGAATCCATCTCAGGAACTGTTTATATGGTCTGTACTGATGATCAGACAAGGTATGGCTAAACTGTTCTGGGCGGAAGGCAAGGTAAGTTGTCACACAACTTTAAAAAAGAATTAATTGATCATTAAAATTAGTGTTAACCCTAAACAGCCAAATCTGTATATTAACATAATTTTATTATCATATCAAATATATATTAAATCCAGGCAACAATGCACATTCAGTCAATCTGACCAGGCTTTTTACTAACAGCTGTCAAAATTTTTAACTTGATATCCCTAATCTCAATAATGTACAGGTCCATAAATGGAAGCTGAACTAGTCCATTAAAAAAAAAAGGTCAGTGCAATATGGGTTAAAAAGTACAGTTTGTATACATGCTAACTGAATTGCTTTAGAAAACGTGATTCTATGTTCATAAAATTATAATTATTGTACATGTATATATTTTGAGTTAATCAGCCATTGTTTAAATGTTACAGGATGCTATAGCTGCAGCATTAGTGGCTAACAGCATACTTCAAGCTATGAGAAATAAAACAGATGACACAGAAGTGGTGCTCAAAATCCAGCATGACATTGAGTAAGATTTTAAATCCTTTTTTTCTCTCAATTTATTCAGTATTAGTTAACAAAGTCCTTACTTCTATGTAACAGACTTGTCATTATATGAAATTCTAGCTGGACATTATTGGTGTCAGAACGTTCATGTAATACTTTATAAAAGAAGTAATGTGGTTAAAAAGAGGCAGCATGGTCGAGTAATTAATGCGTCTAATCAATGGATAACTTTCTGCTTGGGTTCAAACCCTGTCAGAGGCGAGCCGTTGTTTCCTTGAGCATTAATCTTTACACTCATCGCTAAGTACTGGTTGGTTCCAGGAAGAGATTCTAGAGTGTGACTTTAAGCCTAAGCTTCCTACACAATCAAACTAAAATAAATTTTGTATTAACTGTGTTAGTTTCTTATTCCTATTAATATGGGTTCAGGAACTTGAATTATTACATGTTGTTCTATAGGAAATAACTATATAGAAAACACATACTTTTCTTTGATTTATAATAAGACAATGATGATGATTCACAGGAAATGACATCATAATACTAAAATAATGCAAGAAAATACAAAACTACATACATGAAGTTAATCAGCAATGTCAATATTTTTTTTAAAGGACTCTAGCAGAAATGTTCAATAAGGAGATAAATAGATTAATTTTTCTTTCAGTGAATGGTCTGAGTTAGCAGTAGGTGTGTTGAGTGAATGTTACTCAACGGATGAGAAGAAAGCTCAGGATTTGTTAGTACGGGAGCAGACTAACTGGGGTGATACAACATGTATGCTGATAGCCGTTAAAGCTGATAACAAAGTCTTCATCTCACAGACAGCATGTCAGTCTTTACTGAACAGTATATGGATGGGAAAGCTGGCACAAGATAATTCATCATGGAAGGTTTGTATATTTATTCAGCAATTGTTGGTATAATATTAAGTTCCTTTATATATTTGATTTTTGATATTCAGTTTGGTGTAAGGGGCAGACTTGTGTTAAATGTTTCATAGCAATTGTATGTGCATCAAATGTGTATAATAGCATTTGTTCTTTCATCAAATGAGTGTATCACTGAAAGTATGATCATAGATCTTCCTGTCTAAATTTGATATTTTGAGCAAAAATGCAATGTTGGACCACCATCATTGCTTTTTGCATAATTACGATGGAGTTACTGTATATGTATATTGTGTACAAGTGAAATTGTTTATCACCCATGATTGAACGAGTATAATATTATAAGGTACCTAATGTAGTGTTGCTGTAGTTTGATACACTGACTGCTACATATGTATTACATATAGCAAATAGTTAAATTTAATTATGAAGGTTCTTTTGAACGCTGAATGTTTAGCACGTAATGGAATTATGTATATATATATAAATTCTCTAAATATTTATACAAACATAGTTTAACTGTTGTTTCTACACATTTGTTGTGATGTGCGATATTGATGTCATTATTTTCATGCACATGGTTAGATATAATTTTGGTTTGACAGTGTTGATCATACAAGATAATTTGATGTGATGTTATATAGAGATTCTACTGTTTGCCACATGGTTATATTACCCAAAGAGTTTGCTCAATAGATAAAGCGTTTGCCTGTGAGGCAGGCTGCCCGGGTTCAATTCTTGGACAGTTCAGGTCACTTTAGTTGTGATTGATCATGAAATCCTTTCTACGGTCATTGGCACTGTACCTCTGCTCTGGCATGTACAGAAGTTATCAGTTCCTTGCGGAATTGGAGGTTACTAGTACTGGTTAACTGCTTGACAGCCTGCTCAGAAAGGATGTGGTGGCTGAACAGAGCTCTGTTAAATTCAAAGTGGCTTACAGTTGTGATCAGGAAGGTAAACTACCACCACCACATGGTCAAATAATGATAATGATATATTTCAGCTGGTGTTATGTGTACTATGTCCACCTTTAGCATTGGTTCTGCTAAACTTTCAAAAGAAGCAGGTTGAAAAACCTAACAACCAATTACAAAATCAGCTTTATGAGTTGGATAATAATAAAAAGGTAAGCATTAAATATTTGTTTATTTTATCTTTGTAAAATTTGTTTTGTATATTTGTTAAAATTTTGGCAATAATGCCACATTCTATAAACTACTTCTTAAGTACAAAAACACATCAAAACCTTTCTGAACCTTACACAAGTTTATTGGCAAGGTAGGCAATGTACCCTGATTATAGTTTCTATAATGTACCATGACATCAAAGTTATTGCCCTTGATTAAAAGAGTTATTGCCCCTGGCACAGGAAAGAAATAGAGGCATTCTATACACTATTCTTAAGGTAAATGACAGAAAGTTACTTAACTGTAAATAAATGTGTATTAGGGTAAAGTGCAACTCACCTTGATTTAGATTTCTATGTATTAAAAAATACACTAGAGTTATAGCCCTTGATGTAACTTAGTTTAACAAGAAGTATAGCCCCTGGATTCATCCAGCTTTTAATCTGGAACAGTCCTTTAAAAAATTAAGGCATTTCAATATAAAAATACAAAAATTAAAATGCCAACAGTATAGAGCCTGATCAAGCTAAAGGCATGTGCAGGTTGACCTGGCTCCGTACTGGCTGCAAAGGCTAATGACTTTTCAAATTGGTTACAGCAGGGTAAATGATTCGATAGTATGTTTCTGATTGAAGTACTGTTACATAAAGGTTATAAACACTTATCAACTGGCAATATATTATGTCTCTCAGTACTCATAATTATATAATAACTGCAAAACTTTTATTTGCATAGAAAGAAATAGAAAAAAAACTCCTTTTATAGTTTGTTTCATTTTTTTATTTCATTTTCACTACAGGATGATGTTGATAAAAAACTTGTGAGACGACAGACGACATTTATGAAAAGCAATTTGAAAGGAAGTAGAACCTCATTGTAAGTATTATTTCTCTACAGATAATGTACTCGTTCAGTACTTTCTGAACATTTATGAGTTACCTGTTGACTTCAAACCATTTGCTCTTCACTGCTGTAGGTTCGAGTCTCTCCAGGGACTTCAAATTCTTTCATGTGAGGAAGCTATCTAGCTAGCTTACAGAACGTCAATGGAATGTTGCCATGTATGGTAAGTTGCCATATGACCATCTATGTTGGTGCAACGTAAAACCCGGCGCCCCAAAACAACATACAGGGCGTTAAATGTATTCATATCCTTTTCAACCCTTTCATCTTTTAAGTTTACAGACATTATAAGGGGGTGAATATTACTATATACTTTAAGTACTTTTATATGCATAACTTATCATACAGAAGGTTTACCGACTTTCTAAAGGTGCAACCAAATGGTTAGGGTTGCTGATTTCAAATGAATTGCACATAATGGTTGTGGGTATGAATCGCGTTTGAAAATAAGCTTTCCAGCTATAAAATTGGTGGTTGTACTCTGGAGAATGCTTTTGCCTGACATTATGAATGAATGGGCACCTGAGGTCTTCCTGTACCTTTTAAGCTGGAATTTGCCATATGACCGTGAAGAGCTCCATTGAGGTAAAAATTCTGAAAAACTTAAAATTCAATTTGTACTGAGATCAACTATTAGATCAACTTTGACACTTGAAATTTAAAACAAAACATGCAACTAATAACTAAGAAATATTCTCAGAATTAAAATAAAAAATCAATTTTTTGTGTGGTTTTAGTTCAATATGAGTTAAAAGCTTTTAAACACTTTATTTTTGTTTCATTTTGCATACTAAAACTCGTTATTCATGAAAAACGAAGCAAGGGAAAGAAAGTTTGCAAACATATTATTAGGCCATAAATAATAAAGAAAATATTTTGAATCCTGTCATGTCAAAAAACCTTTAGTCTCCTTTAACAGGGTTAGTCTGACAAACATCTTAGACATTCTTGATTTATTAATCATGTATCTATTATATGAAAAATTCTCAATTTTTTGTATAGACGAGTAGGTGAAGAAAGTAAGGACCAAACTGAGAATGATGAGCAAGAACAGAAAAAAATGTTGGGTGTTCGAGAAAGAATCTACTACTTCTTTAATGCCCCAGTGATCATCTTTATGAATAATGTGGTAAGTAACTCTGATGAAGACTTGTGAGAGATGAAACGTTGGTTATCATCATTAAATAAACCTCAAAACTTATCCTTTCCACTTATATCATTTTTCTCAGTAAAATGTGGTAAGTTATAGAAAAAGCATCAGACCACAATGTTATCCTATTTGTTTTGATGTTCTTTCTCTTGTGTCACAGCCTGAAACACAACTTTCCCTGTTATCCAACATGTAAACCCCAGAAATAATGTAGCCAAATCTGGGGGTCATTAAACAATAATGCAGGGTATTGTAATAATCAATCATTTCGGGCCACAGTCAGTTCAGGAAATGCAGAAGGGACTGATAGTGTATGAATATAATAAGGAAATTGATTTTTGAAATAATAAGTTGAATATTTGCAGTTAAAAAAATATCCCATAGTCCTCTGGATTTAGGAAATTAACTGTAAATAGTTGTGACTATTTAGCTAGAATAAAATTAATATGCTATTAATAATATTTTTTAAAGAGAAAATTGTGATATAAATATGAAAACATATCTTTAGTTTTAGCATATCTGTTTTGGAAAAATTTCAAGCTATTATGATTGCTTCTGCGTCATTGTGCCAAACTTTAATCTAGCCCATTATTCAAACATTTTACAAGTTATAATCATGAAACTTGGACTATTTGCTAATTTTGAAAATGTGCAATTGTAACACAAGGGCAATAATTCTGACAGCAATTTATTTGAGTTATTTTTCTTTTTAACATAGAATTTATACCAGATGAAGTTCACAGCACATGACAAAAATTTTTACAAATTTAATACATGATGTTTCCCTGTATATATTTTTCAGTTGTCATACCTTGTGTTCCTAGGACTGTTCACGTATGTTCTGATATTTGATTTCAACCCAAATGTAACAACTGCTGAGATCATTCTCATGATCTGGGTATTTACAATTTTCTCAGAGGAAGTACGACAGGTATGTTATATATTTCCTTCTCTTGTTTGATGTGTTGATCATTATATATTCAGATTGAAAAGGAATGATATATTTAGATTTAAATGAAATAATATATTCAGATTGAAATGAAATAATATATTCAGATTGAAATGAAATAATATATTCAGATTGAAAGGGATTAATATATATAAGATTGAAAAGAAATACAATATTCAGATTGAAAAGAAATAATATATTCAGATCGAAAGGGAATAATATATATCAGATCGAAAGGAAATAATATACATGTATTCAGATTGAAATGAAATAATATATTCAGATCGAAAGGAAGTAATATATTCAGATTGAAAGGGAATAATATATATCAGATCGAAAAGAAATAATATATATCAGATTGAACAGAAATAATATATTCAGCTTGAAAGGAAATAATATATTCAGCTTGAAAAGGGATAATGTATTCAGCTTGAAAAGGGATAATATATTCAGCTTGAAAAGGGATAATGTATTCAGCTTGAAAAGGGATAATATTATTCAGCTTGAAAAGGGATAATATATTCAGCTTGAAAAGGGATAATATATTCAGCTTGAAAAGGGATAATATATTCAGCTTGAAAAGGAAATACATGTAATGAATTCAGATTAAAGGGCCCTAAAAATGATGCTTTGAAAAGGTCACCCAGATACTGTTTTGATATTTTTTATAATTTTGTTAATGCAAATTGTTTAGAGTTGAGTTTTTAGCTGGACTATTTAAAGAGAAGGAGATTGACTGAACTTGTATCACATTTTGGTTAACTTTTGCCCACATATTGGTATCTCCAAAACTTACTGAAAGGAATAGCTTGAAACTTCCTACACTACTTTTCTGTAATTATCTAATATGATGAACATAGATCCCATTGCTCTTTAGTTACCTTTCTTGCAGAATTATTCCCCTTTTCTTACTGTCAAGCACTGAGAATCGTCAAGCATGCTGTCATAGGGACAGCTTTTGTTTATATCATACTTACATTATACTTAATTATTTAGCATGGCTTGCAATCAGAAAAATACAGCACTTGTTTAAGAACGGTGCATTGAAATAAACAATCTCTAACAAATGTTGTCTTTCCTTTTCTGTCAACAAAAGTTACAGAACAACTTTTAAAATTTTGTTTTCAGTTTAAAATTGTGAAATTGAGAAACAGTAGTGTCATTTTGACAACTAGAGTTAAGAATTACCTCCCTTCCTATACAGCAAACATACTACCATGCATGTTGGTCATTTTAACCTTGCATTGTTTCTCTAGAAAATGAAAACATTTTTATTCATTTTATGCTTAACCCTTTCTTACCATTTTGACAGTTTTCTTGTAAAATATACTTGTTAAACTTAACGTAACATTATTTGTAACACAAAAGTTAAGATAGTGATTATAACAATGGCATGAGTCTATAGATACATGTATATACACAAAAAATTTATATTCTATAGAATAATTTTAACAATTTAGGTGCATTGGCACTTGACAGTAAGTTAAAATGAGATGGCCAGTGAAAATATTATAAGAGATTGTAAAGCCAGCTTTTTTTTTTACATGTTTTTGGTTATGTTGAACCTTAAATTGCTGAATTCATGTAATGGACTTACTTTCTTGAATTTAGAACAGTCCATCATTAAGGTTCAGAGGCATTTCTGTATCAAAATGTCAAACAAATAGGAGTTAACAACAATATATTGACCTGCTTAATTCATGTAGTGGACTTGCCTGCTTGAATTTGGAACAGCCCAGTTTAAGTTAAGAGGATTTCAGTATCAAAATACAAAAAAAAAATATGAGTTGACAACATTATAGAGCCTGGTCAGACTGCATGGATGTGCAGGCTGGCATGGAACTATACCGGTAGTAAAGGGTGATCACTTTTGGGTTCAGCAGATTTAAGGTTCAGAAAGTAACGAGTCTGTATTTTGAGTGATGCTAGTTTATCATGCCTATTTTGTATGAAAGCATTTTCTTGTGGGGTTTTTTATTATTCAATTGATAATATGAAAGCCCCATTTTCTAAAAAAGAAAAAATATTAAAGCCCCATTTTCTAAAAAAAAAACACACAAAAACAAAAAAAATAAACTTGATAAATGTTCCATTGATTAGTTGAATTTAGAGTGAAATAATGTTTGTTTTTCAAAATTTGAGTTTGAAACTAAGATGACTTGCTTCTGAACATTGAAAATGAAAGGGTGAGTTTATAAATAGCAGAAAACGATTTTCCGTAAAAGCTAAAAATATCCTCTGCCTACAGTGCAAGTAGCATTATGAATTAACATTGTATTAATTTTGAGATTCAGTAAAAATGCAAGGAAAGTGTGATTTGTGTTTATAGTTTTCATTAGTATTATAAGAATATTTTGTTTTTCAAACAGTTATTAATGAGAGGGGCACCACAAAGGGTGAATGCAAGCGACAGTGCAAATGTAAATAAAAAATAAATATCTGTATGTGCACCTAATTATAGATAGACCTATTAATAGAATTGGATTTTTGTGAAAAAGATATGGAAGTTACATCAGTTAAAAAATTGCACAAATTTCTTTTTTAGTGTCTTTAGTAAACAGTTCCAATCAAATGAATAGTTTCTAAATGCCTTAGACGAAAATTATGTTTTTTTGTTTATTTATCATAATTATATTAATTATAAACATGTCACTTTAAGCAAGCAGCATTTTGGAGCACAGAGAGAATTTGCCTCTATTACTTGTAGCATAGGTTTTGATAATAGCAACTAACTTGTAGTGAGTAAATATCCTTTTTGCTAAATTGTTTCATATATTATTACATGTATTAGTTTTGCAGCTAGAACAAGTGCTCATAATTCAGAATAAAGACAGTACAAATCTTTATGTAATTCAGTACTGTACAGTTGCAAATCAATGTACGTATATCTGAAAGGTGTTGCATTGTTTGCTTACAATGTGTTGGATCAGTTTAACAATAAGTGAGCTTAACAAATAAAGAGCTTGTACTAATTTAATAATAACTGATGGCCACAATAAGCTTGTGGGGCCCACATGTACAAGTGGTTAAGGTCACTGAATTTGAATCACATGCCCCTTGCTGCCATAGGTTAGAATCCCCCGGGGGCTTTTAAATTCTTTGGTGAGAGGAAGCTATTAAGATGGTTCTACACAGGTTCCAGCTAATGTGACTGGGAAAATGCACCTGAGGGACACCTGAGGTCCTCCACCAGGAAAGCTATCATTAATCGCCATATCACGTTTACAGTGTTGGAATGACTTGTTTTGAATTACAATTTATTATAACAATCAGGAACTTTAGGTGACTTGTTTTGAAAGTTGATTTTATATAGTATACAATTTATTATAACAATCAGGAACTTTAGGCCAACTAAAAATGTTGCCATTGAACCTGCTTGCAGTGAAAAAAAAAAAATTTGCTTGCATCTGATATTGATTTATACACAGATATCGAGGGATATTTTATCTCAAAATAGAAGACAGGTATGTTGTAAATCCTGGTAGCAATTATGAAATTTGTTTGAAATATTTTGCTTGTGTACAACAAAATTAATGCACTTTCCTTTACTAGTACTCCTTACTGTTTTCATGAAATGTCAAAGTCTTTGAAAGTATTTTAAGATACAGAGAATTTTGTAAACTTAGTAATGGTGAAAAAGAAGATAAATATAATTTTGAGGACTTTTCATCTCACTGGAACTGTCAAGGACAAGAAGAATAGTTCTATACAGTCATGTATATTATATTTTTACAAGGATAAGAGTATTCAAAGACTTTGCATTGATGAAATTAACCCCTGTATACCCTATATGTAGCCTAAATCCCCATTTTTCATTTAATTTGTCATTACTATCAATAGCTTATGATTTATTGTCATGACAGTGGGTGATACTGAAACAAAGAACTTGAGTGGTTTTGAGTGGTAAGCACCATGAGTGGATGAGTGTTACTGAAGCATAGTTTTTGAGTGTTTTAGCTGCAGTCATTAAAAATATAGCTACATTGTATTACAAAGTACTAAGTGGTTTTTAGTGGCCAACACTTAAAGTATTACTAAAACAAAATACTAGGTGGTTTGAGTGGGAAACACCTTGAGTGTTACTGAGGGATAAACAAAAACTTGATAAACACCATGAGTGTTACTAAAATTACTTTAGTGGTTTTAACTGCCAATAGCACAAGTATTGCTGAGTGGTTTGAGAGGTGAACACCTTGTGTATTACTAAAACACAAACAACTTGAGTGGTTTTGAGTGGGGAACACCATGAGTGTTACTAAAACACAAACAACTTGAGTGGTTTTGAGTGGGAAACACCATGAGTGTTACTAAAACACAAACAACTTGAGTGGTTTTGAGTGGGACACATCTTGTTTATTACTAAAACACAAATAACTTGAGTGGTATTGAGTGGCAAACACCACAAATCAAATGTTATTGAAACAAAGTACCTAAAAGGTTTGTCACCATAATGTTATTAAAAAGGTATTAGGAAATCTATAGTGTACTAAGTACAAAAAGAATGTATAAACTAGTTACATTTTCTATTTATTACACTGTGGAAATAACCTTGTATCCTTAATATAGCTACATCTTCATGTAAGTAGAAACAAAGTGTTTTCTAGTTTGATTAGTATACTAGTTACTTATTCTATAGATATATAAATCAACATTATACACTTACTATAAATAAGTAACCTTATACATGTATTTCTATCTTTCAGCAAAATCTTATAACACTTCTTGCATTGTTTTTATGTTGTCTTTTCATGTTGTTTTTGTATTTTCTAATGTATGCATTAAAGTTTGTGTAATAGATTTTCCCAACTATGAATTAGAAATACATAATAATAGTCTAATTTAAGAGTGCTTTAAGGGATTACAATCTGAAAAAAAAAATTCAAAAAGAAATCTGATAAGTTTTAGCAGGTTGTATAGAGTAAGGCAAGCATAGTTTACCTGTTGCATTTGTGTGCTCTGACTTTGGAACAGACTCCATTATAAAATTGAGAAATTTCAATGTATAGATTGAGTTACCAACAGTATAAGAGCCTTGTCCAGCTATAAGGTAGTGCAGACTAGCCTTATTTCTATACTGTTATCGCCTCCATAGCTGAGTCACTGGTTCAGGTCACTGATCTCATTTCACTTGCCCCTCACCACTGTGGGCAAGACTCTGTTTTCTTTCATATGGGGAAGCTTTCCAGCTTGCTTACAGAACATCAGTGTTTTTACTTAGGTGATACTAATTTGCATGAAGGGACACCTAAGGTTTGTCTCCACCAGAAAAGCTGAAAAGTTACCATAGTTGGTGTGACTTAAAATGATGATAACTTTAGGTCTTTTTGACATGTTTCTGTTGTTTTGTTTTGGTTCTTCTTTTTTTCTCTTTTGGGTGGGGGATGTTGGTAGGGGGACAATTCCAGAACAGAAAATTTAATGTAGGTGTTCTTAGTTTGTTTTTTTAATTGATTTGAAATGCTAAAAAGGGATTGGAATGATAAAAATTGGTTTTAGTTAAGTTACTGAATATTACAGATCCCATGTTTAATTAACAAAATCTTAAGGGTATTGATAATGCCATGGAAATATTTTTTTAGGTTGGGGGGGGGGGAGACTAAACATAATGTAACAAATGATGTTATGTATGTTTCTTGTTGTTTGTAACTATAAAGTCTTGTCTTACAAAATGTATAAAATATTTATTTGTAGCTTTTACTAAAAAATATTTACTGATCCCTTTGCAAAGTATAGTTTTGCTTGTTGTTTTTGTTTTGTTTTTTTACTTTTTTTTTTTAATTTAATATTTATATTGTTTTACACTGTTCATCCTTTCATGAGATATGAGAATGTAAACAGAAAAATAAAGAACCACAGTCATGTAATTACATTTTCTGTATAATCTACACCCACAAAACGGAAACATTTAAAAAAGAAATGTGAAGCACTGTTTATTTCTAGACATTGGTGCTACTTAAGTTACATTTATACCTATGGGCAGGGCAGTTAGTGAACCTTGTGCACTTTGTGATAGTATATACCTGTTTCAAAGTGTCTGCGGGGTTGCCTTTAAAGTTTGAAGCCTCAGAAATGCAGCCATTATTTATCCCTGCGTGCTCGTAATCGGCGCCTAAATAAGGCAAACAAATTACTGGAGTCTATGCATGTCTTAGCTCCAGCAGGTGAGGTCGTTTGACCCTTGGTGTTGCTTTAAATTTTCAACACCCAAAATTAGTCAAAATCATCTTTCTTGTTTCAGTGCCATACAACCTAAATTGCGTTGTTGTGCCAACTAAATAGTAGTGCTAAGAAATAAATTTTGTCATGTGACTGTTTTAATTTTATTGCTCATAGTAAGTTAGATTCTGTGCACTAGTGTATTTACTTATTAATTGGAAGTAACACATTACATTGTTTTATTTTATATTTCATCTTTACTTTATATTTCAACTGTCAAAAGTAATAAAAAGTATGGTGCATTAATTCATAATTAATTTTTAAATAGTGTACATCTTTAAATAAAGTAAGATTTCGTTAGACAATATAAAGAATTAAAAAACACAACTATGTAACTTGCATCTTGAATAGAATGGTTTGCTCATATTAGAAGATAACTCGTCACTAAATTGACAAAATGCAAAATGAATCAGTTAGAAAAAGTTTCTGCTATTTTTTTCTCCAGAATTTTATAACATTTATATTATATTAATGAGGTAGTCTTAATATTTCGATTTCAAGACAGACTGATTTTAGAAACTGATATTAAATAGATGTCTGTCTTTATGAAGGGCGACAAGTATAATTATATAAAATAAAAATCCCTGGCACACAATGTGTTTGGCTAATTGATGAGGATGTTGTTCAATATTTATGAGTACATAAATTCATGAAATACCAGTATAATTTAGAGTAAAACAATTATTTTATTCTATTTTTTTTATATTTTTTCAAATTGAAAAGAAAGTTTTATTGATTTATTTATTAATCTTTATACAGATTTTATTTAGAAACTCAGGGTAAATCTATGCACATGATTCAGGCATGTAAAATTTATAAAATAAAATAAAAGATAAAAAATTAGTCAGTATTTCATGATTTACATTTGTTATTATTGTGCCCCCACTTTAGTGGCAGGCATTTAGATTTACCCTTGTTATATTTCCAGGTTGCAACAACTGCTTCTAATTCCCTGGCGGCCAAATTACAAAGTTATATCACGGATACCTGGAATATCGTGGACATTATAACGATAGTGTTGTTCATTATTGGAATGGTTCTCAGATTTCTACCACATTCAACTACGTTTGAGGCTGCCAGAGTATTTCTCGCGCTCAATTTTGTCTCGTTTTTCCTGCGTCTGCTGCATATATTCTCTGTCCATAAGGAGTTAGGACCAAAGCTTGTCATGATTGGTCGAATGGTAAATTTTTTTTTCATATTTATTGATTTTTTTTTTTTGATTACATGCAATTGGACTGTTTCTTATTTTAGAAAAGGTAAAAAGTTGCACACTTTATATAATACTTATAATGTTAAAAGTGATATATTATTGGAATTTATCGAATGAATGATAATTGAGTATTGTTGTAAAAAGCACATTACTGTAATTTTATAAAAAGAAATTAAAAATCCAAGTTATTTAAGTATGTACAGTATTTATTTAGATGAGCATTCAGTATTCTATGTACACACATTAATACAATGAAAATATTTAAGCCATATGATTTTAATATGTCTTTGATATAGTGACCCGTGTTGTTTTTTCAGGTTCAAGATTTGATGTATTTTCTGGTCATATTGATGGTGTTTGTTGTGTCGTATGCCATCGCCTCACATTCTATCCTCTTCCCAAACTCTCCGTTAAGATGGTACACCATTGTAGACGTCATACGGAAATCTTACTGGAACATTTATGGTGAATTATTCCTTGAGGAAATTGAAGGTACTCTAATTTATACTTTAATATAAATTGTAACTGAAATTTATAAAAGATTTCTTAGTTTAAAATTCAGTTGCTTTCCTAAATTTAATGGAAATGTATTAAGTAATATTCTAACCAGTGTAGCCACTACATTATCCTCCTGAATTAACATTTTACCTGTGGAATTATTAAATGGACTTATATTTATGTGTCTTTAAATATCAGTTTTGTCATCCACCAGTATGGAGCCTGGTTGGTTTGCCCGGTAGTGCAATCTGGCCTGGCTGTACACTTGTGGCAAGGGTTAATCACTTACAATCCCAGGGTTTGAGTAACCAAAAACCAGGGGTTTGGAACTGACACTTTTGTCACTTAAAGACCTGGTCTTTACCCTCTCACTGATGCTTGTAGTTTGTATTAACAGTCAAAATGCTATTTTGAAATAAATTTTCATGAAAATGAAATTATGTTGAATTTATATGAAAAAGAATTGGTGTTCAATGGTTCAATGTAATATTTTATGATAGACTATGATTATCAGTGTGTTATTTTATGATATGCCATAGTTAAGAGTGTTTTATTTAATGGTATCCATTCATTTTCAGTGTTTTATGTTATGTTGTACTTTGATTTAATTCTCTTTGTCCTCATGACGGGTTTGGCAGAAAACAAAAAAATATTTTGATTTGATATTTTATATTAGTATGAGCCGTGCCATGAAAGAAACCAACATAATGGGTTTGCGACCAGCATGGATCCAGACCAGCCTGCACATCTGCGTAGTCTGATCAGGATCCATGCTGTTCACTATCAGTTTCTCTACTTGCTATAGGGTTTGTAAGCTAACAGCATGGATCCTGATCAGACTGCACAGCTGCGCAGGCTGGTCTGGATCCATGCTGGTCGCATACGCATTACGTTGATTTTGTCTTGGCGCGGCTCATATCATGATTTTATTTCGTTTTACAGGCACTGCTGATTGTTCATATGATGAGGTGATGTGGTTGAACGGCACATTACCTCGATGTCCGACCGACACAGGAAAGATAGTTGTACCTATATTAATGGGAGTTTACATGCTCCTAGCTAATGTGTTACTTCTTAATCTTCTCATTGCCATGTTCAGGTATGCCTTAACACTAATTATTATTATTATAATATAAGAAAAACACCTTAGAAGTACACAAAGGACATACAAAATGTACATGTATAACCATTTTGCAGAAAGCCCTAAATATGTCATCAAAGCATCATAGACTATTGCAAATGTATTAAGGAGTAGATATAATATGAATGTTAATTGTTTCTCAGTGTAAATTACAATAAAAGATGTTGCACTACTGATAACTTATTTAATGATGGTAACTGTTTATGACGTGATGAGGCTCTGCTGAGTTTCCACTAAACAGTTACTGAAAAGCTAGATATTCCCGTCTGGTGAAACTGGAGATTGATTACTTTTCTTGCATATTAAATATTAATCATAATTTGGAAAGAAATTACGAATTTACAACTTCATTTATAACTGTAAATGACATTGTCCTAGGGAGGCAATTCATTCATAAAAGGCCCGCAGATATGACGTCATTTAAAGCACATGACCTGTCTTACATGGGAGGGGTGGGGGCTGGTGTAGGATAGGTTTGTCCAGCACCGATATAATCAGTAGATAATCATTTCTGATATGCTAAAATTATAAAACTGTGTCCAGAAAGACAAGATTATTACCTGCGTTTTGTCACAGTACAATGTATTTCTCTTTTGAGCTTAATTAATTATATAAGCTAAATACTTGCAGTAAAACATGCTTGGGTAGAAAATCTCAGCATTGTACCATTTGAAAAATATTTTTTTGTAGTAATCTAGACTTAACATGAATGACACATGCATTGTTTTATATGTATATATACAGCATAAAGGGATGTCACTCTTATAACGTTACATCATATTTTAGCTATAGCCTAATACATGCTTCAGATTTCAGCTTAAATCATATATTCTATTATTATAGTTTTTAAATAGACTTTTTATTGGTGTTTAATCATATGAGTTGTCCACCATTTTCTACTGGAATTGAAATAAGCATTTATTTATCAAGTCTCTGTTTTTAACCATGCCAATGTCATGGGCATTATAGCATAGACTTTCGAGAAAAGATTATTTTAACCGTTTTTCAATCAGCTTATTTTTTCAAACGAAGCAGACAACAAAATATAAAAGGATCTGCTCATTGCTTGATAAAAAATATATGAGCCACGTCAAGACAAAAACAACATAGTGGGTTTGCGACCAGCATGGATCCATGCCAGCCTGCTCATCCGCGCAGTCTGATCAGGATCCATGCTGTTCGCTAACCAACCCTTTAAAAAGTAGAGAAACTGAAAGCGAACAGCATGGATCCTGATCAGACTACGCAGATGCGCAGGCTGGTCTGGATCCATGCTGGTCGCAAACGCACTATGATGGTTTTGTCGTGACACGGCTCATATTATATGTCTCAAATCAGATGTTTTGAATTCAAGCTCTCCAATGTTGACATCTGCTATGTTTCCTCTTTTATGAAAATATACTGGATATTCCTGGAAAATGATTTCTAAATGAAATTTTCATTTTTTTACACAAGCTTTTAAAAAGCTTAATAAGTTACCTTTATTCTAAACATTTGAAAGTAGCATTTCAAAGCTGAGCAAACTGGTTTGTCAATTACGAATCATGGCAAATGCAATTATCATTTTTTTAAGACATAAACCATCATCTATCATTTATCTTTCAGCTACACATTTGAACTTACTCAACAAAACACTGACGGCATCTGGAAATTCATGCGTTTTAACTTTATAGTAAATTATTGTAGTCGATCCCCTATAGTGCCCCCATTTACTGTCCTCGTGCACATGAAATCTTTACTACAGTGTATTTTTAAAAGAAAATCTTGTCACAGAAGAATTCGTCATAAGAGCATTAGTAAGTGTATCGAGAAAAACTGTATTTGTTGCGATGTTGTAAATTTTTTAGACGTCCCCAGCTTTACGCAGAGTATAATATAGGTATCCCAGTTTCTAAATATAGATAGTTATACAATAGGAAAATCTTCATTATTTAATAAAAAATACTCCCGGATAAAGGGCATACAGGGCCAAATTTGAATTATAAACAAGCCTTTTTGCTAGGGGTGTACGGGTTATGTTCCCATACAATATTATTTTATCTGAAATGTAAAGTTAGTACTTGTATATGGCATATATCTAAGACCTCTAATTCTTTAATATCTTGATAACAGTCAATATATGTAAGTTTCCTTCAAATTACAAAATTATCACCAATAACTATTATCAAATGGATAGGAAAAAGTAGATTACCACTCATAAAAAATAAGGTCAAAGTTCAAGACCAAAATTGGATTTTGATTTGATTTTTTTTTGTTTTTTAAGAAATATTGGTTTTCCCAAATGAAAATCTGGGTCAAGGCTACAAATTTACATTGAAAGGGTTTCAAAAAAAGGTTTAAATTTTAAATTTTTAAATTTCCGATTTTATACAATTGTGAAATTTTTAAAGGTGGGGTTTATTTTGTTTTTCTATTTTGGGAATTTTTTTTAAAATGGGGGAAAAAAATTTATTTTTAGATTTAGGTTTTTTAAAATTTTGCTTTAAACCCTAAATGTTTTTAAAATATAAATCGGTGTGCTATATTTCCCCTTTGTTTTTAAAAAACAAAAAAAAAAAATTTCCCTTTGAAGTAAAATTTAAAACCTTTGATATTTATTTAAAATTCCCAAATTATAGTTCAAAGGGGGACATAATTATATTAGCTAGTGATAAAAATACCTTCACCTAGTATATGCCATTGTTATAAAGTCAGGCCAGTGTGCATAAATGGTGGGCATAAGTTAGCCATCCAATGGTCACTTGCATTTAAATGGAATAGAAATCAGTAACATTTATCTAATTTATTAAGTCAATTTTTTTGTGAATCATTATATATAAAAATACAATCTTAATAAATCAACAAATAGTGGAGCATTAATTTATAGATCTAAAAAATCCAATTTTAATAACTTTAATGATTTTGAGAGATAGAAAAAAAGGTACTTTTGTACTAGTCAGGGTGTTAAAAAAGTGCAATAGAATGTAAGATAACAGGAAAAAATAAATATATGCTTATCAGCAATGTTGTGAGAAAACATTTCAGTTTCATTCTGTGAAGTTGTGTATAATATTGAATTTATTATAGTGGTGTTGCTTATACATGTATATATATACTCATACATTGTTTGATTTTTTGTGTGCAAAATGTTTATATATAATTGTATGCATATACGAAAAATATATATTACGTGTATAACTAATTGAGTAAAGAATGGGAGAAAGATTTATGGCAATTTTAACCCTAAGCCTGCCAAATTTGTATAATGGATTTTCCATGCTTTGAATGGGAACAGTCTATTCAAAGTTTAAAGGCACATTATGCATCAGAAATGAAAAAATGTTTATTTTTGTAGAAAGGTCAAACATATGTTTAATAATGTTGTAATAATCAATTAAGTACATGTGAGATGCTAATAACCTGGCGAAAATAGTGTTGAGTGTGAAAAAAAGAATTTGATTAAGGTTGCAAACTGTAAACAAAATGTTAATTTTACTTTCATATATAATACATATTCACCAGCACTGTACTTATTGCCATAAATGCAAAAGAAACAAAAGATGGCTCAGAAATATGGCCAATATGAGTAACCTTTTGGAAACTAAAACAGGACACCAAACATGAAGTAATATAATTTTATAGGCTTAATGGGCCTTTAAGGGATTTCAATGTCAAAAATACATGTACAAAAATAACTGAGCAACCAATAGAGCCTGACAGGTCAGATTGCATGAAGGAGCAGGCTGACCTCAATGGGGTCTTTAGTAATGGCAAAGGCTAATAACTTTGTGATCCAGCAGGCTTATGGTTAAAATAACATACAATATAATTGTAGCGTGGTTTTCATATTGTGACATCTCATGTATATTAAGAGAATAGTATTTGAGATGAAGGGATTTTTTTTTTTTAACTTATGACATGTATATATTTAATAATTGATTTTAATTTCTATAGCTTAAGACTGTTTGAATTTTTGTTCATTGAGAGATTTTGCAAATGGCATTCATTGATGTCTTTAGTCACAATGACAGCTAAAGGTCAAAGGTTAAAAAGAAATGGCACAAATTCTTTTTTACGAGTATGGACATCTTTTGTAGATTATAGTAGAAATTAGCTACCAACATCTATTAAAAGTCATACTAATAGAAGAACATGTGTAGTTTGAATACTGATATATAAGTATGGAATAGTTTGAGTGCATTAATAAATATTTTTGTTATGGCCAGAGAAAAAAATGTTTGATTATAGCTTTTTTACAATTTATCAAATATTTTGTGACATACCCTAAACATTTATTAGTTATAAAAATAATTTAACTTAAACAGTAATGGGTATTTTATATCTTAAATTAAAATAATAACATATTTGATTTTCTTATCCTATTTAAATTGCTGTTTGATCAGAAGAAATGAAAAAACAGACATTTCTTACTCTGGCCTTACAGTAGCATACCTCCAGATTCATGATAAATTTTATAAAAAATCAAAAAGTGTTAATTATATGGTCAAGTGTATTCATTTAGTGTATATAAAGTGATTTGTTTTGGTACAGCTAGGACACTTTTTCTATCCAAAGATTTTCAAATAAGGCATTTGCTTCATTAGTCTTGGAATATATCAATGGTAATGAAATAAGTAGTATTAGATAAAGTCATATTTGGATAAAAAATGCAAAGGCTTTATGGATTGTGAATATTTCATATTCATTTACAGGGTATAGTATTTAATGAACACTTAAAAAAGTTTGACTTTTGAGCATTTATTCATTCAACTGGAGGCATGCAGCTTTAATATTACTTATTTTTAGGAGATAGATAACTCTTAATTTCTTTGCTTTTCGTTATTATTCGTTATGCTTAAATGCGTGTTTTCTTTTTTTGTTTTCTCTTCAGTTACACGTTTACATTGGTCCAAGATAATACTGACAAACACTGGTTTTTCCAACGTTATTCTTTGATTTACGAGTATTACACTCGACCAGTGCTGTGTCCGCCACTCATATTTTTCTCCCATGTTTATCTGCTTGTAAAGTTCCTATTTTCCTGCTGCTGCTGTCAAAAATCTACCTCTAATAACGATAACGAGGATGATTTCCGTAAGTTTATGTTTTGTTTATAAGGTTTTGTTATCTCCACAGTTGTTGCAAGGATATCGATAGTTTAATTTACGTCTTTCATTAACGCAGTTGCCATTTGTATATATCTGAATTTTCAAATACACAACTTTAAACCCAATTAATAGGTAGAATATATAGATATATGCCTTGTTATCCTCATAGCTTATTTTACCTGTGATGAACTTAATTTACTAAGTCTATTGTATGATATTTAAATTAATTTGATTGGCTTTTTGATATACATGTATATGTATGTAGTTGATATTAACAAAAAAAGTAAGTTCACATATTGCTTTATGCTCACTTGCCATGCTTTTTCTAGTATATGAAAGTACTAGTTCAATACAATGAGACCATAATGATCATTCATAAGCTTCATGTACGCTGTAAGTGAGTATTTAACAAAATGATATTTTTCAGGTCGTAAGTTTAAAAACGAGCGAGAGCTTGTTCAATGGGAAAATGTGATAGCAGACGCATTTCATCAGAAAACAGAATTAAAAGATTTTGAAAGCATGGAGTACAAAGTGAATGACACAAATACACTGTAAGTATAAAAAATGTTTGAATAATTTATGTGGGTTGTCAGTGGCTGAGTGGTTAAGGTCATTGACTTCAAACCACTTGCCCCTCACTGCTGTGGGTTCAAATCCTAAAAGGGAATTCTTTCATATGTTAAGTACATCAGACTTTCGGATTATTTTATGGTTTAACTCAGGGGGCATGTTTTTTGCCTGAAAAAAATGGCATGGGCGGCAAACCTTTAGGTCTCAAACCTCCTTAAAAAGCGTCGGGCCCTAGACCTATTTTGGGCCATTGCATGTTACGTAAGCTCTCCCCGGGTATATGCTGTCCGTTCATAAAAGGGATACAACAATTTTGAAAATTGGGGGCCCTTTCCCTTTTTAAAGGAAATTGGGCTACTTTGGTTTTCAGGAAAAAATAATTGGGAAAAATTGTTTTTTAATTTCAGCTTTTTTTTTTTATTAACAAATTTTATTTGCGGGGACCCAAGTTTATTTTTTACAAGTCTATTATTTTACAATTTCCCCTATTTTAAAAAGTGTATATTAATAAATTTAAATTTACAAGTTTATATTTTACATGTTTATATTTGTAGTATAAAAGAGTTAACAAGTTTATATTTACAAGTCTGTATTTATAAATTTACAAGTTTATATTTTACGAGTTTATATTTACAAGTTTATATTTACGAGTTTATATTTACAAGTTTATATTTTACGAGTTTATATTTAGAAGTTTGTACATTTGTATTTACAAGTTTATATTTTACGAGTTTATATTTACAGTATAAAGGAGTTAACAAGTCGTATAGATGAGCTACAGGAGCAGCAGTTACAGTTGTCACTGTCAGATAATGTATCCCAGTCACAGTCACACCTCACACCGATCACACCTGTGTCACCATCCAGTGTTATTGTTAAAATGCCGCCAAAACTTGAGTTTAGACTGGAAGCTTTGGAGAAAAGTGTATGTTGCTTTTGTTTTAAGTTAACTTTTGCCAAGACAAATGCTTTACCACAACTAGAGATTTGTATTTTTAAAATATCTAGGTTTTTTTTACCAGAAGATTACCAATGATTGGGTATTTAAGTTAACTTATTAGCTGTCACTCTTGAGGTGTCCATGGCCAAGTGGTTCAGGTGTTTAAATTCAAACCACTTGCCTCTTATAGCTATGGGTTCAAATCCTTTTGAGGACTCCAGATTCATTCATGTGAGGAAGCTTAGTCCACTTAGTTACAGAACGCCAGTGGTTCTACTCACAAAGGGGCACCTGAGATCGTCCTCCTGCATTAGAGCTGGAAAATCACCCTGTGATCTTTACAATATGGTGTGACTTGTTGAAAAAAAAAAACCAATAAAAAAATAAACATTCTTTAGTTATGTTAGAGACATACTATGCTTATCATTGGGTATAATTATTTACTGCAGGAATTTACTTAAATCTAGGAAATTCTGATTGAATATGTCAAGTTTGAATAAGAGAATGCACAAACTATGCAAGACTGTATAGCCATTATCATTATTCTCAAAAATCAAATTTGAGCATTATATATCTTTAAAGAACCTTTAAGAATTGAAAATTCTCTGGCAATATTATGGTTTAATATTGCTTTATTACAGATGGAAATGACACATGACTCACTTAAGTGGATTATGAATTCACTTAAAGAAGGAAAGGTGGCCAGTGATACCAGTGTCCCGCCCACTTTCATAGATTGGGAGGAGCAAAGATTAGAAGGTAACTGCTTGTAATAATTAAACTGGATTTTTTTTATAGATATATTTAATGGTTAATAATTTATGTGAGCTTCACAAATTATATGAATATTTGAAGCTTATTTAAATTGGACTTTATATTCCTTTTTCATTTCTTATATTCATATTTTGAAAGGTCGTATAAATTATATAATTTTTGCAGATTTGAGCTTTATTTTGGCTTGTTTTATTATTTTATTTGAAAGTATTATGAGGATTTTACCGTTTATAGACGTTTTTCCTTAGTTATCTCAATAAATTGTTACACACATAATTATATGCTTGCTTCTTAATTTGATGAGAATTTTTGGCTATACAATTTATTAATTTTATTTACGTATAAACTGGGAAAATAATTTTCAACTCAATTTGTTTGTCTTTTTGTTTTTCAATACAATTGCAGAAGGTAAATATATATGTATGTTGTGCATGATACATGTTACATGTATGTGATACCCATGTTGACAAAGCACTTGAAACTCACTTGACACTCTAAAAAATGCATCTTGTTTATTCTCACGGTTGAAAAAAATTAATTTAATTGTCTCTATATCTCAATAATTATTGATTTTTTTATGCCCCCTCTACTAATGGGGAATGGGGCTCCCAGATTTGCCAGTGTTGGTCCTTCATGTTTTGTCTGACAATACATATAAATTGGGGAATTATCAGGTTGGAGAATTTTTTTGCAGACATATTTCCTCTTATTCTTGTCAATCATTCATCATAAGAAACTTGTAGTTTAAGTGATAAATAAGTATTCTTCTTTTCCTTCATTAAGATGATTTAAACATTAATTTTGTTTCTTGTATTAATAGATATTTTATGGGATGGTAACTATAATTTAGGTCCATTTGTATGTTTTTTTGTTTTTTTTGTAGGTAAAATAAAGCTTGATTTTTACAATCTTATTTAACGATTAATCCAACATTTTGTACTGCTTTTTAACAAGAGATACAAAATGCACTGCTGCTATACACTTCTGATATTCAAATTCTACTTTATAAGTTTGAGTATAATTTTCCTTGAAAATGTAACAATATTATTTGTATTGAATTTGAGCCCAACTATTCGTAGAATAGGAAGAGCTATTGTATTCAGCCAGGCATTGGTGTCACACTTTAGTAAAGTTTATGCGTGCAAATTGGTATCTCTAAAACTTCTGAAGGGAATGGGTTGAAACTTCACACACTTATTTTAGAGTCTAATAGGAGGTCTTTTCCAAGGCCCATAACTCTTACATGGATTTCGGCAGAATTATGGACATTTTTGAGATTAGAACATTCTACATTGTCACAGCTCTTATTTAACTATAATTGAGCACGTTGTCCTAGTGACAGCTCTTTTTCTATGAGTACTGGGTGAAATAAGTTTACTAAATTTAAAAGAACGTTTATAATTATCTTTGGCAAATAACCCTAATTCAGCAAGTTTTTTTTTTTATTTTTCATAATTGTTTTTTTGCAAACTCAACTTAATAAAAGGTAGGAGCTGAGAGAAAGTATGTAGTTGTTAAAAGCACATGAAGGTCTAACTGGCTAAAAGTCATGGACCTTAGTGAGCAAGCTACAAAAAATACTTTGATTTTTAAATGTTTATAAGGTGGGACAATCCTCTGTAAATTTTAACTCTGAAACAACAGGAAAATTGTATTCAATTTTTTTATAGGAAATTGTCAACTTGAACTTTTTGAAATATGATGGTTTTCACAGTGCACTTATAAAATCTAACAACACTGTTAAGTTATTTTATGTGTGCAATTAACAAGTCACTTTTCACCACTAACTTGTTTCAAAACTGGAGGAAAAAAAACTTAATTGCCCCCAAAAAAAGAACTTGTGACTTTTCCCTATTTGACTTATTAGGAAACTCAAAACAAATGTTGTAAATCTTAGCTCTTACCACCGTAATTATCTTAAATGGACTTGTCCATCTTTTAGTCCAGACAAAACCATTCATCATTTTAAGCAGCGAATTTCAAAATAAGTACTGACTGAAAAGCAAACAGTGCAGACCATGTTGAGACGGCATTGAAGTGCTTGTTGATCTTTGTCTGCACTGGTTACATGGGTGTTTTTGCTAATGTTATCTGGTCATTTTATTATATCTCTAATTAATAAATTGGAGTATAATATGATGGTGTCAGTCTGTCTGTACTTAACATCACCTTCCCTTGACCATTCAGTAAGTGAAGAAAGAATAAAACCATGGTTTATGTTGCTTGATAGGGACATTGCCATTGCTTGTAGGCAGTAGATGACCCATTTTGGCTTTAGGGTCATTAGATCAAAGGTTAATGGCATTGACAAACTAAAAGCTTGTCCAACTAGGGAACGCTGTCTTTTGCATAAATTCCTTAGATTTGGTGTGGAGGCTGGTAATGAGTAGTAAATGACTCCTATTGGTTTTTAGAACAGTGGGTCAAAGATCAAGGTCATTGTGGCCTTGACAACAAAATGTTTTTCTGACCAATAAATAGAGAACACTATGGCCTGCAGTTTGAAGGTTGATCATGGCTACTGGTAATTAAAGACCCGTATTGCCTTTTAGGTCAGTACCGGTAGGTCAAAGGTAAATGTCACAATTGCACTTTGTATAAATTCCTTGTCTTATCAATAACTTTAAAAGTAATAGGTTGAAGTTTATGATCTTTGAAGGGACATTGTCTTTGGCCTGCAAGAAGTCCCTATAAATCTTGAGGTCATTAGGTCAAGGTCATAGTGGTAAATGAAATGACATAAGTTTATGAAACTCGTTAGTTATAATTCATAATTATAAACATGTATATTACTTATTTATATATATTATATATATATATATATATATATATATATATATATATATATATATATATATATATATATATATATATATATATATATATATATATAAAAAAATGTATATGTATGTAAATATGCCACTGTGGCAGGAGAATGAAGTGGGATCATAAGTGTCCTATGGATACATTTCTAGTTCATAAAGAAATATGCTAAACATGTTTCATGATATTCTAGGAGAAAGAAAATCTAAGAAGAAAAGTAAGTATGAATCAAAAGCAGAAGAAAAGTGCAAAGATCACTTTTTGTTTAGTTTTAGTTCAAGTTTTGAAATTGTTTGGATATCGTTTTGAATATTTGCTTGCAAGTACATGTATAAATGTAATCAACGGCAATAGTTAGTCACTACAACTGTGTTGGCTTATGTAATGCTTGCTATTAAAACAGTTAATTTGCATTTTGAACCTTATTTTGTGTTTAGATAACCATTTAACATAATAACAAAAAGTTTTTTCTTAAACAAAAAGAAAGTTTAAAAAAAAAACATATTGGTGAATTATGCAAAATGTGCACTATTGAAGATGAATGTCATTTTACTCATAATGAGTAAGCTAATAGACTTGCAAATGTCTTATAAGTTACTAATTACTGACAAATGTCAAATTAGTTACTAATTAATACTGCATCTGATTTAGATATGGAGTAATGTTTTATAAATGAATTAGAACATTGATATATTTAGTGCTTTCACTTCTTACCATTAAGAGCTGTAGTAGCAATTTCTGCAATATTTGGAATGTCTATCCTGGCTAAAAATGTTATCAGCATCATAATCCTTACCATGCTTAATATCTTAAATGGACTTGTCCTTGTTTTTAGTCTGGACAAAACCATTCATCATTTTTAGGGTACTGCGTTAATTTTAAATTATGTACTAGTTGACTGAACAGCAAACAGTGTAGACCATGATCAGGCAGCACAGATGTTACAGCTGATCTTGCTCTGTCAGCTGGTAGCGTTAGTAGATTAAGTTTTGACCAGCAGACGAAAGGTTAATTAATCTTACAATGCATTGTATCAGAGTCTAAGCCTCACAAATCCATATTTTTTAATAATAAGGTAAAGAGTCAGTCTTGAAAGCAACTGTATGAAAATTTTGGCTGACATATTTTGGACCAAGTACATTTATACAGAAGTGCACTGTTTATTTTTGGCTGTCACATTTTGAGCCAAGTGCATGAATATAATTTAACAAAAGTGCATCGTTCATAATGATATTTGTAAAAATTAACATTTTTTTAAATCATTAATAGGTCTGTTTAAACAGTAGTTCTATTTGATAATCTTATTTTCATATTATAGTTTATCAAAATCATTTTAGGGCTTTTCCTTTTTAAAGGAAGTAGTTAGAAATACAGTTATTTTTGTGAAATGTTTACCTCCTAATTTATACTTTGCACATTTTTTAATTTTTTTTTTTACAACTAGTGTCACTTTGAAATTAAGAAATGGTGTCAATGTTTGAATGATACAAGTGTGTTGGTGATTTTTATAAAATTATGTTGGTTTCATTGTTGTTATTTATATGAATGTTGTTTTCATTAATGTAATGTTGTTAATGCACAAAGATTTCTCAATAAGAAGTTAAATCTGAAAGTCTGAAACATTTAAGATGTATGTATATATCATTTTGCTTGAATATTGTTTCTCCCATTTTTGGCCGGGTTGCACAGGTGCAAACCCGGGTTATAGTATGGTGAATGTCGGGCGGCGGGCGGGCGGTGGGCGGCGGGCGGGGAAAAAATTTTCGTAACAGTTTTCTCAACAACTACGTATCACAGCCTCTTGATATTTGGTATACAGCATTAACACATGGTCCCATACCGTGGGATTCGATTTCAGGTCTGTCGCTCATCCACTTACTGTTTATCCACTTAGTTTAATTAGTTAGATTTTTTGACATTAATGGTCAATGGTAGGAAATTTTCGTAACAGTTTTCTCAGCAACTACTTATCACAGTCTCTTGATGGCACACAGCATTAACACATGGTCCTTTATCCTGGGATTAGATTTCAGGTCTGTCGCTCATTCACTTCCTGTTTAACAACTTAGTTAAATTTTCTGACATAATGGTCAATGGTAGGAAATTTTCGTAACAGTTTTCTCAGCAACTACTTATCACAGTCTCTTGATATTTGGCATACAGTATTGACACATTGTCCCATACCATGGGATTTGATTTCAGGTCTGTCGCTCATCCACTTCCTGTTTATCCACTTAGTTAAATTAGTTAGATTTTTCAACATTAATGGTCAATGGTAGGAAATTTTCGTAACAGTTTTCTCAGCAACGTCTTATCACAGCCTCTTGATATTTGGCATGCAGCATTGACACATGGTCCCATACTGTGGGATTCGATTTCAAGTCTGCAGCTCATCCACTTCCTGTTCACATTAATGGTCAATGGTAGGAAATTTTCGTAACATTTTTCTCAGAAACTACTAATCACAGCCTCTTGATATTTGGCATACAGCATTGACACATGGTCCCATACTGTGGGATTCGATTTTAGGTGTGTAGCTAATCCACTTCCTGTTTACCTACTGAATTAAATTTTCGACATTAATGGGTCAATGGAAATTTTTTTCGTAACATCACAGCCTCATGATATTTGGTGTACAAATGCAACCCGGCCTTTTCTGTCTTTGACCCATTTTTTAGTTGTATTTTGATTAAGTTCCATTAAATTTTAATGAACGAACATATGACTTCTTTACGAAATCAGTGGCAAAACTGTTGCCAGCAGTTAAAAATGGTGTGTTGATTTAAAAAAAAAATCCCATTTATTGACACATTTTGTTTTCTGAACAAAACATTATCTGAAATCTTTCATTTGATATAAAAATAACAATAACATATAAAATACTTTTTCCTTTTGTTGAACTTTTTGGTTTATTAATGGCAAAATATTGTTCAATATAGTAATTGTTTTGAGAAGACAAGCCTTTATAAGTCTAAAAGTTAGCGGTTGAAATTATATTTTGTCCAATGAGATTTTTCCATTTTTTCAAATTTTTTCGATACATTTAATTAATTTAATCGGCACCAAATTGTCATAAAGTACTATTCCGTTAAATCAGTGTTTATAGCTCAGAAAGTGTAAAGTTTCAAAACATAATTTCAACCACTTATCACTAGTTAATTAAACATATAATTCGATTTAAACCATTTCACTATCTTATTTTGGAGCATATCTCCCTTAAAGAACCATCTAACAACTTCCTATAACTATAATCCCTACATGTATAAACAGACACCTGCTACAATTAGTGCTTCCAAAATTTCAGAGTAAAGTAGAAAAAACATTTCTTTTTGTAAATTTAGTAATTTGAATAAATTTCCAGATTGTATATACAATTATACATGAACAATCATATTAGCTTTGCAGGCTAGTCTTGTAATAGTCAAAACATTGCAGTGATATTTTTTTAAATACAGTGCAACCTCTTCAGAGTGGCCCTCTGTAGAGCAAATGTATAACCTTTTTACAAGAACAGTAATAGTCCTCAGATAGCATGACCGAGGGGTTAACATGTCTGACTAGTTATCTAAGGATTGTTGGCTGCATGGATTCAAATGTTGTTTCTGTGCACAAGAAACATTACATTCATTGCTTAGTACTGGTTGGTTCCAGGAACGGATTTGAGAGTGTTTCAATAAGCGTACAATTTCCAACACTATCAAAACTAAATAAATTGGCATAAAAAAACCCAAATAATTCTTCTGAAAGTAAGCTGATTTCACTGTAAATTTAACTTCCTTAGAGCAACACAGGAAGTTGCCCTGTAGAGGCTGTACTGTAATGCAGTAATACATTTAATGCTGTTTTTTCAAGTGGCATTGGGTAAACATATTTAATTAAGCTCGATTGCGAAACATGTCCTTTCAACTTATAATAATCACTTGCAAGTCGGCTTCCTGGCACCAACCTGAGTACTGATGTCATATGGAAAAACATGGTCTTGACCCGACTAGGGCTCAAACCAATGATCCCTGGGTTGAGAGGCAGACACCTTAACCATTAGGCCACCGTTCCCGTCATTAAGTGGCATTAATGGCTTGTCTGTGCGGAAAGAATGAAACCAGAAAAATATTGCAGTTTTGACTGATCAATTTAAGTAATAATATATTGAATTTTTTTCAACAATGTTCTGATTCAAAGTAAGGCTATTGTTCATTGTACAAAATTCAGAGGGATTATTAAGTTATTTGACAGCTATTTTATGACATGGTAATCTTCAAGAGATAACTAAAAAGTAAAAGATAGTCATTGTCTTAGTGTGTTATTTTTCTGTGTTATTTTAGAGAAGAGAAAGCTAGAAATCAAGGCTGGTGAGGAACGAGCCAAAGTTCGTGAGATGTTACTGCGTGGGATAAATTGTCACTTTAGGTCTCGAACATCACCATATCCCGGGTCACTTATTTCAAGGTTTCCTGTTCCAGATGATAAAGTATCATGGGAGGTTGGTACTCTTTTTTTCTCCTCTATTTTTGATGAGGGTTTTAGTTCAAATGGCTCGTTAAAATCATTAGATGGTTTTGCTTGTGGAGGAAAATCCTCTTGTGGTTGAGAAAGAGGATGCTTTTACCGTTAAGGCATCATAATTGCAGCCACCGTTTTTAACAGCCTCCGTGGTGGAGGGGTTAGAGTCGATGACTTCTAACCCTGTTACCTCTCTGGCGTGGGTTCGATCCCCGTGAGATGCTTAGGTAGTTTAGCACGGAGGAAGGTAGTCTAATACTGGTGTAACTCTCCAGGAACGATGGTTAGGAAACTACCCGCCTATATGACTGAAATACTGTTGAAAGTTGAAACATACAAAAGCTACCGTTTATCCCTGCATGATTGTCAGAGGCGACTTCATGGGTTTGAATTACTTCAGTCTATGCATGTCTTAGCTCCAGCATGTGAGGTGGTTTTGACCCCTGGTGTTGCTTAAAATTTGTAACACCCAACTGGTCAGTCACAATCATTCTTCCTGTGTCAGGGCCATTTTGACCTAATGGTGTTGGTGTGACCTTGATGGACCATCAGTATTTCATTTTATGCAGGAGTGGATACCACTGACTTTCCACAAACTGGATAAAAAGCTTTTTAAGTTGATGAAATTTTGCAGGATTTGAATCAGCATTAATACAGTCATGTGAATGTGAACTGTGTAGATAGATTAAAAAGAAGCTTGCTTGTGTTAAAATTGTACTGAATTTGGTTTTAAAATGATTATTTAAACTTGAATTTCTTGAGGTCCTTAAGCTTTTGGATAAGCATTTGTTTGTTTTCAAAGTGACTTTGAAGGTTTTCTGCCTTTTAGAGGAAGTGGCATAGAGTTATTTTTAATTTTTTATGAAACATTGGATATTTTCAGGCTGAGTACCCAGAATACTCCCCCAGCGCCTACACAGCTCCGGAACTCGTACAAGATTTAAGGCCAGAGTGGGCTGATATAGATATATTTCAATTGTAAGTATTTTCATGTTTTTGGAAACTAAGTGGACAATATCTTTAAATTGAAAATTTCTCCTTATTCACCCAACAATTACATTTATGTTAATGCAGGACTGTTTCTGCAAGATTACTCATTATTGGTCAAAGAGGTTATAACTATATAATTCTTTATAAGTTAATATTTACTGATTCATTAGGATTCATAATCCTTAAAGAGTTATAGGCTTGTGAAATGTACATCCATATTTGATGACATATGTTTTAGGACACCGCAACAAAGGGAGGCTGCTATTACCTCCTTCAATGCAGTGGATGGGGAGAAACAAGTGGACAGGATGAGTTTTCTTGGTGAATATGTTGTACAGAATGGTTTACCCTTGAATCCAAAAGGTCGCACAGGTCTACAGAGTCGGGGACTTCTAGGAAGATGGGGTCCGAATCACGCTGGGGATCCTGTAGTTACTCGGTAAATATGTCAATTTCAAAATTGGTCTTCAACCTACCAGCAGTTAAATTAATTAAGCCATGATTATGTTGACACTTATGTCTAAGGCCCGTCAAGGAGGGTATCTAAATTACCTAAATTGAACATAGTACAGTACCATGCGTCCGGACAGATATGAAATGACAATGATTTCATTAAGATAAAAGCTTGGGTGTTTTAACATGAGATACAATATATCAGCAGCAAATGCTGAAGTTTTGGATGTCCTATTGTTTACTCTGTAAATGATTATAGCTAGTATAAGAGGTCAGGCATTGCACTATTGACGCCCAAATTTCCATCATCAACGTTCCTTAAATACACATTAAAATATCACAATTTACGAAAGTTGAAATAAATTTAATTACTTAATGAGAGGGAAACTTGCATTTATTGTTGATAAAAAAAAGATCGTCAACAACTGAACAAAGAAAACAAATAAATTAGGCATTTTTAGGGGCCGTCCGCGTTTGATGGTTGTCCGGTTTTGGTGGTCCCCAACCAGTAGACAACTATTCTTTTAGCATTTTTTTTTTCTTTACAGATGGCAATAATTTTGTGTAAACATTTGGCTCACCTTTTAAAGCCATGTATTTTGAGTGCTTATTTTTGATAGGGTTAACACTCTTGATTTTAAAGGAAAAATTACATAATTTATTATTTGTTTCTTCAATTCTCAGATGGAAAAAGAATGCAGACGGGAGCAAAGTACTGAAGGAGGGTAAACCAGTGTTAGAGTTTGTAGCCGTGCTCCGTGCAGACAACCAGATGTGGGCTCTTCCAGGGGTATGTCACATGTTTTCTTATACAAAGTTTAGGAAGGCTGATTAGCTGGTTTCCGTTGCTTGCGCAAGGAGGTCACATGGCCAAAAAGGGGGTGTTTCATTCAAAATGTTTGTTGTCTGAAAATACACGGCCAACTATAGAGATAGTTTACAAGGCTATTTGTTTTATTGAGACAATGCTACAGGGGCTAAGCTGTAAACATGCTAATGCTCATTAGCTAATGCTCATTAATAATCCCAAATGTATTGTACATTGATGTTTTGTTAGTAAATTTTTTGGATTTTGAAAAATTTGTGGGATTTTTTTTATCTCACTGTGTGCGAAGAGTGGATGGGGAGGGGAATCCTGGGACAATGTGAAAAATCAGGATTTTATATCCAAGTAGGGGGATATGGTATATTATATGCTTTACAATACAGAAATAAAATGTGGCAGATATTTTTGGAAAAGTTTTCCACCTACATTTATACAGCTAAATAAATATGATTATAACATATATTTTCAGGCAATTTTACCACCAGGAGCTAAGCCAGCGGATCATTTGCAGGCTGATTTCACTGATGAAGCCATGGGATCTCTAGAAGGTTCTAGCAATGAAAAAGTAGTAAGAAAGAAAATGAACAAAATTTGGAAGAAAGGAGTAAAAGTATGTACTCATATATACGTTTTTTCTGTTTTAAGTGACTGTGAATTCACTAAATTTCATGGCATGGATTTCTGATTATTTCATGATTTTATCTTAAAGGAATTTCTTTTAGGTTCTTAATTTAATAGATTTGTCTATTTTTGCAAAGTTGTAAAACACAAATATGGTATTGCAAAATAATCTTTTAACAGCAAGCGAAATAAAAAAATTTAGATGAGGTAATGAAATTTTGTTGGATATTATATTCATGGAGTGACCAACCACAAAAAAACGGCAAAATTTAGTAAACCCGAAGCATAATGATTTTGCAGTATTTCAACTTTGTATATTTTTGAATTGATAGATCCCTACTCTGACCTTTTATATGAATAACAATAGATTAATCCACAAACATTGACATGTGCTCTTTTGTTAACAAATACATTGTGGTGAAATTGTTATTGTATCCACTAATCTGATAATGAGAATTAGATCGGTCAGGGATCTATGCATTGCCATTTAAGTAAAAATTTTAATAAAATATGAAGATTTAATCAGTACATAAAGTTTAGTTTTAAGAGAATCTCTTTCCTTAACAATCATGTGTTCTATACATGTATATGAAAATGTTTTTTATTTATTTTTTTTTGTAGCTTAGTTACGAGTGCTTAGTTATGAGTATTAGCGTTACTAAGGTATTTCTTTTACATAAAAGATGTGTGTTTTACTGATTTCTATTTTTAGATATACGAAGGTTATGCAGATGACCCACGTAACACAGACAACGCATGGATTGAAACGACAGCAATTAGTTACCATGACGAGGATGGGGCGGCCTTCTCTCAATGCAACCTACGGGTAAGATACTTCTTTTTTAGCTAGACTTATAGAAAAATGAAAATTGCTAGTCTACTCAACTTTCAGCTTTCTTTTTTCAGTTAAAGTTTTATGATCAATTGCTACCTATACAATATTTCCATTACTGAGATATAAGCTTTATTTAACCTCATTTATGCATTTCCATTGATGAATCATACTGATAGAAGAAGTTTTATAACTCTAGCCTGCATACAGTTAGAATTAATGCCCTTGAGGAACTATGATATCTCAGGCAGGTTTAAGTTTTGCATCCACTACAATTGCATCAATTATTTTCTTGAGATTTCACACATACTAAAGATCATGATTGCTGGTCACCATTTATACTAAACCATAAAAACCTTACATAACATAGTATTTTTATAACTAATAAAGTACTGACTTATTAAGGAAACATTTTCTGCTCAGGATTTCAAACCAAAATAAAAAATCACAACTAATTTTGAATTGTAAAATAACATTTCTAATGTCAAGAAAACTAAGGATTTTTGTAATATATCTGTTTGTTATATAATTTCCAGGCTGGTGAGAGGGCAGAGCTAGTCACATGGTTAACCGGGTCACACAAGGTGACCTTGCACGGATCACATTTGTATCTAGTAAAACTTGCTGCAGAAAGACTTGGTGCTTATTTTTAAAAACTTTTTAGCACTTAAAAACTTAACATAGTTATGTCATAGCTAGGGAAATAAAAATAAACTACATTATCCATTAGTGCAAAGCTGAAGGTATTTACAGTGTTCTTGGATTAAATACGAAAGTTAGAAAAATGTAAGAGGAAAGGTAGATGAAGGCAGGGTAACAATGTTGTAATATTGTTTTGTGCAGATCTGTGATATGGCTAATTAAAATATGCAGCTATTTGTAAACTACAATGTGGGAAATATTTTCGTGTATGAAATATTTTAGCTAGTTAATTTATTTTACTTTTTTAAAAAGGAATGCCAGTTATTTTTTTATAATTTTTTTCTAAATTTATTGGCTAGTTTTCGTTAAAATTTTAACCATTTTGCTTTCATAAGTGTACTCATCTTTTGTACATAATTTTTTTAACTTATTTTTATATACAGAAAAATATATATATTTTGTTTATTTTACTATTTAATTTTGACATCTTTGGAAAAAAACTGTCACTATTCAAGTGGCCAAAAGTTGATTCATTTTTTACAAATATTTATTTTTATTTCAAAATAAAACCTTTTTCAGTATAACACAGGTAACTGTAATTCTTTCTATTTTTTATATAAATTAAAATCTTCTATGCATCTGTTTAATCAAGTTCATAAGCAAAACAAGAATTATACATGTATATTTGTACAAGCTCATCCAATCAAAATGTACTTATAATCATAGTTTTTCCATACCTGTATGTTCAAATTATTCATGCTTTGTTACAATTAACCCTAGTCTTTCAAATTTCTATGTCATTTGATTGTCTGTTAGACTTATGAATTTTGTAAAGTAATTATTTCTATGTCCCTGCATCAATTGATGATTGGGGGCATATTCCTATGTCTCTGCATCAACCGATAGTGGGGGTACATTCCTTTGTCCCTGTATCAATTGATGTGTGGGGGCATATTCCTACATCCCTGTATCAATTGATGAATGGGGGCATATTCCTATGTCCCTGTATCAATTGTTGAATGGGGGCATATTCCTATGTCCTTGTTTCAGTTGATGAGTGGGGGCATATTCCTATGTCCCTGCATCAATTGATGAATGGGGGCATATTCCTATGTCCCTGTATCACTTGATGAATGGGGGCATATTCCTATGTCCCTGTATCACTTGATGAATGGGGGCATATTCCTATGTCCCTGTATCAATTGATGAGTGGGGGCATATTCCTATGTCCCTGTATCACTTGATGAGTGGGGGCATATTCCTATGTCCCTGTATCACTTGATGAGTGGGGGCATATTCCTATGTTAGTCCTGTTTCTACATATATAAGCCCTAATTGTAAATAAACCATAGTCAGCACAAAATTAAAGAGCTTTTATTTTAAAAACACATACTTAATAGATAGAAGATATAATGATATATATAGAATAGATATAGTCTTTACATCGGCTACAATAGTCCACCAGACTTGATACGTCTTTAGAACTTTTTTGAAATTCTTTACATATATCTTACAGGTTTGGCCCTGCAGTGAGCATGTATGTGTTTTATGAACTCATTTTATTCAATTTAATGAAATAATAAGCTATGCTATACAGTTATATGTATGTAATGGCAATGAAAATGATGTAAATGTGCTAAAAAAAAAGAAATGAAAAACATTTCCAATGTACCTGTATATATTTTAAGTGACATTATACTCATATTTTTGTTAATTTTAGCTAAATTAGTGATTCAGTTCAAAATATTTGTCTATTAATAGTGATTGACCAAAAATTGATATTGAAAAAACTACTTAAATTATAAAGAAGACTACCCCACTCTTTAAAAAATTCAACGATACTAATAAATTCTGAATGATATTAATAAAAAATCCGTGGATCATGTGTATCATTAACTACTTTGGTATGATAAAATATTAATTTTAACACAATTTAAAATAAAAAAGTAAAGATTTTTTTACTTTTACTTTACTTTTTTACATTTTTGCTTTGATGAGCATAAGTAAACTGGCATAATGTTACTTTAATTTGTCATCCATATGTCAGACAGGACTGTTCTAAGCCCACTTTTACCTGTACTTAATTTTCTATTTTTAGCATGTTTCAAATTGTGATGCCACAACTCCTTTCTTTTATGTCATAGATTTGTACAGCTAATAAAAGTGAACTTTTGTTTTTTTACAATATCGAGGAAGGTGATTGTGTTTGTGACACTTGTTGTATTATAATTTTAAGAACGATTATGTGATATTGACATGTAACACAAATAAATAAATAAATAAACAATGCAAATTAAATTGGCGGAATTTTTAAAATTTTGTTTTTCTTTTTCTATGTTGAGCAGAAAATATTATATTGATATACACAGTATATATTTCTATGGACTGTAGCGATGTTCAAAATTACAAACAGTCATGGTCAGAATATTGAAATTGATGATCTTAACCATGCAGGCCCTTTCAAACATTGCCTAAAATACATTTTGTACATTGTCTTTTTATTATAATAGAATTATAATAGAAATTACACTGCTGATAGATTTTGTTTGTAATGATTAAGCAGACGGCATGTATGTGTATTTGTGCAAACAGGAAAGCACCTGTATAAGAGCGCCCCTTGTGGCTAAGGGTTTGCCATTAATCGTTGAGGCATCAGAACTGCAGACACCGTTTAACCCTACGTGATCGTAAGAGGCGACTAAAAAGAGTTCGAATAACTGGAGTTTATAGATCTCTTAGCTCCAGCAGGTGAGGTAGTTTTGACCCCAGGTATTGCTTTAAGTTTGTTACACCTGAAGTAAACCAAAATCATCCTTCCTGTTTCCGCGCCATATGACCTAGACTGTTTTGTTGCTCCGTAAAACCAAACAAGAACCTCATATAAGTGCTGGTATGAACAGTGTTCAGTATGGAATATCTGCTTGGTCACTCTCTATATAGGTGCTGGAATGAAACAACCCATTATCTGGTCCATAGACCATGCCTATACAGAGGTTGATATACCATAGCAGTGCATATCCATTCTATATTTATCTAATACACTGACACCAGTACGAACTCGGGACCTATTACATGGTAATCGTAGCACTGCAGGAGAACAACTCGCATTATAGTTGCGACTCATTGACCATCCGTCGAATGGTCATCACTAAAATCGTAACTTCTATTTATTAGCCGTAGATGGACATCACTTAAATCATTATTTCTATTTCTTGGCCTCAAATGGACATCACTCAAACCAGTCTTCCTATGTAGTGACCTCAAATCGACAACACTCAAACCAGTCTTCCTATGTCTTGGCCTCAGTGGACATCACTCAAACCAGTCTTCCTATGTCGTGGCCTCATATGGACATAAATCAAACCAGTCTTCCTATGTCTTGGCCTCAAATGGACATCACTCAAACCAGTCTTCCTATGTCTTGGCCTCAGTGGACATCACTCAAACCAGTCTTCCTATGTAGTGACCTCAAATCGACAACACTCAAACCAGTCTTCCTATGTCTTGGCCTCAGTGGACATCACTCAAACCAGTCTTCCTATGTCTTGGCCTCAGTGGACATCAATCAAACCAGTCTTCCTATGTCTTGGCCTCAAATGGACATCAATCAAACCAGTCTTCATATGTCGTGGCCTCAAATGGACATAAATCAAACCAGTCTTTCTATGTAGTGGCCTCAAATGGACGTCAATCAAACCAGTCTTCCTATGTCTTGGCCTCAAATGGACATCAATCAAACCAGTCTTCCTATGTAGTGCCTCAAATGGACGTCAATCAAACCAGTCTTCCTATGTCTTTGCCTCAAATGGACGTCAATCAAACCAGTCTTCCTATGTCGTGGCCTCAAATGGACGTCAATCAAACCAGTCTTTCCAGGTCTTGGCCTCAAATGGACATCAATCATACCAGTCTTTCCATGTCTTGGCCTCAAATGGACATCAATCAAACCAGTCTTCCTATGTCTTGGCCTCAAATGGACATCAATCAAACCAGTCTTCCTATGTCTTGGCCTCAAATGGACATCAATCAAACCAGTCTTCCTATGTCTTGGCCTCAAATGGACATCAATCAAACCAGTCTTTCTATGTCGTGGCCTCAAATAGACATAAATCAAACCAGTCTTTCCATGTCTTGGCCTCAAATGGACATCAATCAAACCAGTCTTCCTATGTCGAGGCCTCAAATGGACGTCAATCAAACCAGTCTTCCTATGTAGTGGCCTCAAATGGACGTCAATCAAACCAGTCTTCCTATGTCGTGGCCTCAAATGAACATCAATCAAACCAGTCTTCCTATGTCTTGGCCTCAAATGGACATCAATCAAACCAGTCTTCCTATGTCTTGGCCTCAAATGAACATCAATCAAACCAGTCTTCCTATGTCTTGGCCTCAAATGAACATCAATCAAACCAGTCTTCCTATGTCGTGGCCTCAAATGGACATAAATCAAACCAGTTTTTCCATGTCTTGGCCTCAAATGGACATCAATCAAACCAGTCTTCCTATGTCGAGGCCTCAAATGGACGTCAATCAAAACCAGTCTTAATATGTCGTGGCCTCAAATGGACATCAATCAAACCAGTCTTTCTATGTAGTGGCCTCAAATGGACGTCAATCAAACCAGTCTTCCTATGTCGAGGCCTCACATGGACATCAATCAAACCAGTCTTCCTATGTAGTGGCCTCAAATGGACGTCAATCAAACCAGTCTTCCTATGTCTTGGCCTCAAATGGACGTCAATCAAACCAGTCTTAATATGTCGTGGCCTCAAATGGACATGAAACCAGTCTCCCAAAGTCGTGGTCTCAAATGGATATCAATCAAACCAGTCTTCCTATGTCGTGGCCTTACATGGCTGTGTCTCATGTTTTGTTTTACTTTACTGTGGCCTCAAATGGAAAAACAAAATCTATAAATTATTCTTCCAACATAAACATATGTTAAGTAATTCTCGCTATGTTGTATTTAGGACAACGGTAAAGACCTTTTCCCACCGAAAAAAACAAAACATTTTGTTTACGAGTTCTCCGTATTCTTGAGCACATGATATATTTGTATGATTAAGGTCAATGCTATTTGTATTGACCCCTGTTCATAATTTCTTCATGTTGGTATGCTTAATCTATCCCCATACACCTGGGGAAGTGTTACATTAATATTTATTGTTTAATAAACACTTTTCACGGCCTGTTATTTCGCAAATGACAATCATTCTTTGCCTCGTGTTTGAATGTTATCTCGAGTATACAAGTGTGCGTCGTAATTTGTTTACATTACAAGGCTGTAAATATTCTACATTTGGCACATTAAAGCTTTAAAACGTGATTATATGAAAAGTGAACAAGTCTAAAACATATCAACTTAATCCCAAGTCAGTAGTTTACTTTGATGCATTAACACAATTAAAGA